CGTTTTGATATAAGATTTGTGTAGGTGGGCCTGAAAATAAGGGAGTGGTGGCAGTTTAGAAATCATGTCCTGATTTTACAGCTTTTGCCAGCTCCCACTCTAGCTTTGCCATTCATTCCTATGGGACAAATTTCGCCACAAGAACGACGATATTCCGTGAACCATTCGGCGAAACGTTCCACAAAGTAATAGCAATCCGATCGGGAACAATCTGCACGTTTTGGTAAATTTTTGTCTATGTAGTGTAAAAACTGTGGGAGGAGTTAGGGTGCCAAATTTTGCTATAATAAGAATAAGAATAATAACTAGAAAAGCTACAATTTCTGGGGAAATTGTGTGAAGTGTTCTTGCCTCCACCAGGAGTCTACAACTGGAGTGGGCGGAGTAACTGTTATCATTTATATAGCACATTCAATTGCAATGTTGTTGCACAGTTACATTAAACCATACATTTATAAAAACATTAGCAGGTGTTCAAAAGGCCCTGTCTATGACATCACTTGCTGCTGCAGCTTGACACAGGTCAGAGTATTTTGGTGGTTTCCATCTTCAAACGGTCGTATCTTAAAAACTATAACTCCTACAGTGAAGAGCTTTATATTGTGAGAATCACAAGACCCAGACCTACATTTTGATGCATAGTATGTCTCTGAAATATTAAAATTGAAGGCACAGTCGCAGTTTAGAAATTGCACTTCAAATTTGAGCTTTGCAGAGTGAAGTTTCAATGAAAGTCAATGGACGGCGTTAGTTGCAAACGAATGATTATATTGTGAAAACTATCAGGACTACGGCTTAGCCGTTGACATGTTTAGTGGCAGCAGGGATAGCTGAACGTTTTGATATAAGATTTGTGTAGGTGGGCCTGAAAATAAGGGAGTGGTGGCAGTTTAGAAATCATGTCCTGATTTTTCTGCTTTTGGCAGCTCCCACTCTAGCTTTGCCATTCATTCCTATGGGACAAATTGCGCCACAAAAACGACGATATTCCGTGAACCATTCGGCGAAACGTTGCACAAAGTAATAGCAATCCGATCGGGAACAATCTGCACGTTTTGGTAAATTTTAGTCTATGTAGTGTAAAAACTGTGGGAGGAGTTAGGGTGGCAAATTTGGCTATAATAAGAATAATAATATATATATGTGAGATAACAATAAGTGGTCTTGCTATGCAAGAACACTTAATAACTAGAAAAGCTACAATTTCTGGGGAAATTGTGTGAAGTGTTCTTGCCTCCACCAGTAGTCTACAGCTGGGTGGGCGGGTAACTGTTATCATTTACATAGCACATTTAATTTACAGCACGTTGTTGCACAGTTACATTAAACCATACATTTATAAAAACATTTGCTTTGGGTGTTCAAAAGGCCCTGTCTATGACATCACTTGCTGCTGCAGCTTGACTTACAGATCAGAGTATTTTTGGTGGTTGCCATCTTCAAACGGTCGTATCTTAAAACTATAATTCCTACAGCGAAGAGCTTTATATTGTGAGAATCACAAGACCCAGACCTACATTTTGATGCATAGTATGTCTCTGAAGTATTAAAATTGAAGGCACAATCGCAGTTTAGAAATTGCACTTCAAATTTGAGCTTTGCAGGGTGAAGTTTCAATGAATGTCAATGGACGGCGTTGGTTGCAAACAAATGGTCATATTGTGAAAACTATCAGGACTACGGCTTAGCCGTTGACATGTTTAGTGGCAGCAGGGATAGCTGAACGTTTTGATATAAGATTTGTATAGGTGGGCCTGAAAATAAGGGAGTGGTGGCAGTTTAGAAATCATGTCCTGATTTTTCAGCTTTTGGCAGCTCCCACTCTAGCTTTGCCATTCATTCCTATGGGACAAATTGCGCCACAAGAACGACGATATTCCGTGAACCATTCGGCGAAACGTTCCACAAAGTAATAGCAATCCGATGGGGAACAATCTGCACGTTTTGGTAAATTTTTGTCTATGTAGTGTAAAAACTGTAGGAGGAGTTAGGGTGGCAAATTTTGCTATAATAATAAGAATAATAACTAGAAAATTTACAATTTCTGGGGAAATTGTGTGAAGTGTTCTTGCCTCCACCTGTAGTCTACAACTGGAGTGGGCGGCGTAACTGTTATCATTTATATAGCACATTTAATTGCAACGTTGTTGCACAGTTACATTAAACCATACATTTATAAAAACATTAGCAGGTGTTCAAAAGGCCCTGTCTATGACATCACTTGCTGCTGCAGCCTGACACAGGTCAGAGTATTTTGGTGGTTGCCATCTTCAAACGGTCGTATCTTAAAAACTATAGATCCTACAGCGAAGAGCTTTATATTGTGAGAATCACAAGACCCAGACCTACATTTGGATGCAGGCCCGGACTGGCCATCGGGCATACCGGGCAAATGCCCGGTGGGCCGCGATGGCCGTGGGGCCGAGGCCGGCAGGGAGATCCCAGGATCTCCCCTGCCAGGCCAGCGCTATCCGAGCGCCAGCCCTGCTATGTGAATCCATGGGCCGGTGGGGAGATCAAAGATCTCCCTCACCGGCCCACAGACAGTGAGATGCGGCCGCCGGCTGGGGAGAGAGGACCGGCGGAGCTCTAACCCGCAGCTCCGCCGGGTCCTCTTGCGAGATTCTGAGCGTTGCCGCGGTTACCGCGGCAATGCTCAGATCTCGCGAGAGTGAACTCTAACCCGCAGGTTAGAGTTCACTCTCACCACTGGACCACCAGGGAATGCAGCATGGTCCCCCCTCAAGGCTCCCCCTCCCAGGCAGAACGGCTCCCTCCCCCTCCCAGGCAGAACGGCTCCCTCCCCCTCCCAGGCTAAAGGTAAGAAGGGGGGGGGGAGCACAACTTTTTTTTAAATTATTCATAAAAAAATATATATATATATTTAAAATAAATTCCCTAACAGCCCCCTCACAAACAGGACCCCCAGACACACACACAGCACCCCAGATACACACAGCACCCAGACACACACAGCACCCAGATACACACAGCACCCAGACACACACAGCACCCAGATACACACACAGCCCCCCCAGACACACACACAGCACCCAGATACACACACACACAGCCCCCTAGACACCCACAGCCCTAGACACCCACAGCCCCTCACACACACACAGCACCCCAGACACACACAGCACCCCAGACACAATACAGTAACTCCCAGACACACACAGCACCCCAGACACACACAGCACCCCAGACACACACAGCACCCCCAGATACACACAGCACCCCCACACACACACAGCACCCCAGACACACACACAGCACCCCCAGACACACACACAGCACCCCAGATACAGCACCCCCAGACACACACACATAGCACCCCCAGATACACACACACACACACATATATATATATATATATATATATATATATATATATATATATATATAATATAATATAATATAATATATAATATAATATAATATAATATAATATAACCCTCAGTGAGTTAACAGACAAAGAAAATTAGAAACCTAGAATGTGACGGCAGATAAAAACACCCTCACACACAGCACCCCTCTTACACAAACACACTGCGCACCTCACACATACAATACGTCCAAATATATATATATATATATATATACACACTACAGCACCCCTCACACTGCACCACTACACACATTACGCTCCAAATACACGCTAGATCCCTTACCCTATATGCACTCATAATCCTCTACACACATACACACACACACACACAATCTTCTATACACACTCTGGGTCCTTTACACACTAGATCTCTTACACACACACACTGCACCACCTACACACACACACACTATATTCCTTGTAAGGAAAGACATACAACATTCTCTAAACACACCCTCTCTACAACCCCTACACACACTACGTCACCTATACACACACACTACTGCCCGTATGCACACACTCGCTACATCCCCTATAACACTATGCCCCTATACACGCATTCTCTACAGCCCCTAGCAACACATATTACACCTATTTACACAATACCACACCACACAATTTAAAAGGAAACACAGCGCAAGCATGTTATTACATTTTCTTGCGCTGCGCAGAACAAATTCAGGGCCTTTTTCTAATGCCAGAGCTCTTCAGCGGGGCTCTGCGCATTGAACCAACATGCTCACTTTGAGAGGGGGCGTGCTTGTCATTAGTGATGACAAAACACACCCTCTCTGGCCCCGCCCCCTTCTTGGGGGGCCGCTCTAATTGAAAAATGCCCGGGCCTAATTTTTTTCCCAGTCCGGCCCTGCCTCCAACAAACTGGTGGCTGCCAATATTGTGGTAGAGACACCCGCAGAGAGAGAAACAACCACGGTACAAGAGAAGTGGGAAGAACTGACCGGGTCACCACGAAACCAAAGATGAAAGGCTTCCTGTAGATAAAACAAAAACAAAAAAAACACCTTGCGGTTATATTTTCGACAAGAGAAAAATTCACACAAGACAAGAGTAAACATAAACTAAGTCACTAAAATAATGAAAGGTTATAAAATGTGCTTATCTCAGGGTGCAGCAACAAAGGAGTATTTACATTGAATTGTGTGATGTATTATATTGTCTGGTTAATTGCTTTGATGCATATTGTTAGCTATTCCATGTGTTGTCGTTTTTTTTTTTCGTTTATACATGATTTTTGAGGCAATAAGAGAATAGTAAAGCATTATATGAGCCTCTGTGTCTTCTAATAAAATCCTTGTTTCTTAACCCCTTAGTGACCAGGCCATTTTTCAATTTTCTTACCGTTGGGACCAGGGCTCTTTTTTACATTTCTGTGTTGTTTGTGTTTAGCTGTAATTTTCCTCTCACTAATTTACTGTATTATATACTGTTTTTCTCACGGTTAAATGGTCTTACTAAAGATACCATCATTTTCAGCATATCATATAATTTACTATAATTTGTTTTAATAAAATATGATGAAAAAATTGAAAAAAACTTTGACCCCCAAAATCTGTTACGCATCTACAATTGCCAAAAATCACCCATGCTAAATAGCTTCTAAATTTTGTCCTGAGTTTAGAAATGCCCAATGTTAGCATGTTCTTTTTTTGGAAAGTTATAGGGCTATAAGCACAAGTAGCTTTTTGCTATTTCCAAACCAATTGTTTTCAAAATTAACACAAGTTACATTGTAACACTGATATCTGTCAGGAATCCCTGAATAACCCTTCACATGTATATATTTTTTAAAAGAAGACAACCTAAGGTGTTAAACCTGGGGTATTTTGAATCTTTTCATGCAGACATTTTACCACCAATCTAAGCCAAATTAAAAAAAATAAAATAATAATTGGTGATTTTTTTGAGACACATAGCAATTTAAGAATACATGTACTGAGAAATGTAAGGATTACTGCCAAAGAACACCCCAATATGTGTTCAGAATCATCTCCTGAGTACAGGGATACCACCCATGTATAGGTGTGTCGGGTTCTCTGGGGGCTAAAAGACCTTATTTTGAGGGTGCGCATTCCAGTTGCCCAACTTGGAATTTTCACAGTAAGTCATCATACACCCATGTCCCATTTGGGACATTTTTGAAGCTGGACAATATAATTTACCCCCATGAAACCATATATTTTTGAAAAGTAGACACCCTAGGGTATTTCAAATGGTGGTATTTTAACACTTTCCATGCACTAATTCTACCACCAGTCTCTGTCAAAAGTTTGGGTAGTCATTTTTGTGTGTTATTTTTTACACACATTCTACTTTAGGCATGGATTATCAGCTCTTATTAGGTGTTATTGCCAAAGAACACCCCAATATGTATTCAGCAACATCTCCTGAGTACAGCGATACCACCCATGAATAGGTGTGTCGGTTTCGCTGGGGGCTAAAAGACCTTATATGGAGGGTGCGCATTTTCCAACTTGAAATTTTCAGTTAGTCATCATGCACCCACGTCCCATTTGGGACATTTTTGAAGCCGAACAATATAATTTACCCCCATCAAACCATATATTTTATAAAAGTAGACACCCTTGGGTATTTCAAATGGTGGTATTTTAACACTTTCTATGCACTAATTCTACCACCAGCCTTTGTCAAACTTTTGGATAGTCGTTTTATTTGTGTTATTTTTCTCTCACATTGTAATTTAGGCATGGATTTTTATGTGTTACTGACAAAGAAACCCCCAATGTGTGTTCAGCAACATCTTCCGAGTACAACAGTGCCCCCAATATACAGGTTTTATGGGCTTTTGCAAACTTACAGGGGTCAAATGTAGGGCTTTTCCATGTTTGCACATTGAAATTTGCCAGATTGGTTTGCTGGGCCTCTGTTGCCTTTGAGACCATATAGTAGCCCATGAATGTGAAATAACCACATCATGGCATACCATTTTCAAATGTAGACAACTCAGGGTATTCAAAATGGGGTATTTCCAGTCTTTTGTTGTAGCCACTTAGTCACAAACGCTGGCCAAAGTTAGTGGTTTTATTTGTTTTTGTATAAATGTTTTGGTTTTATATATATATATATATATATATATATATATACACACACACACACACACTTTTATTTCCTATATATGTACAATATATTATACATATATAATGCATCTATGATTTCATCATAAGTGTATTTTGAGATATATATCAAAGTACACTTATAATGAAATCATATAGATTATATATGTATAATATATGATAAAATGATTTATTTTATAATATATTAAACATATATAATATAGACACTCCTCACTTATCAACCGGGTTCCCTTCCTATGACCTGGTCGTAGAACAAATCGGTCGGTAAGTGAGGAGTTAAGGGATTCCCTGCTCTGGTGCATTTGTCTATGTTCGGGTAAACTTTCCCGAACATAGACGTACGCACCAGAGCAGGGAATCCCTCTAATCTATGTTAGGGAAAATTTCACTAAATGATGAACACCTGTATATGTATAATATGTTTATTTTATTATTTTGTTTTGCAGCCTGGGGGACTAACTGACAGCTCAGACAGTCCCCCTGCTGGCAGCTCCTAGAGTCCTATTGCGGTGATGTGATCATGGTGATCACATGGCCATGGAGGGCCAGGATGGTGAGCTGCTGTAGGGGGACTGCTCGGGTCTCTGGCAGTCCTCCCCGACCGTGATCGATGCAGATCGTCGGTCCAGGGCTCCTATAGCGGACATCCTCTCGCGGACGTCCTTAACGACCGTTTTGTGTTGGACGTAACTAGTTTGTCCTTCGTCGTTAAGGGGAAATTATACATTTATATATTTACACTGCTCAAAAAAATAAAGGGAACACAAAAATAACATCCTAGATCTTTACATAGTTGAATGAGCTGACAACAAAATCACACAGGTCGCCGGCAGTGTAGGGGGTATTACATGATGCCTAGATATCAAGGCATCGTGTAATGCTATAAAGAGCGGCTGGAAGCGATCATAATAGCCGCGGACATACCAAGTACGTCCTAGGTCCTTAAGGGCCGTTTTGTCGGACATACCTGGTACGTCCGTGGTCCTTAAGGGCCGTTTTTTTGTCGGACGTACCTGGTACGCCTGTGGTCGGGAAGGGGTTAAAGTAAAAAAAAAAAAAATTTGCCTTATTGTTGATAAATATGACCTTGTGTTGTTTCCCATATCTGTAATTAAATACTTGCTATCCAATCAAGGAGCACAACCGTAAATGTAAACAAAATTTTATTAGATAGGTCCACAGAAAGTCGATATCTCACAATGCATATCAATAAATCGAAACATGAATCACATACTAATAGTATACAAAAATTGCCAGAAGTTCTATAATTACATCCAAGCAGGATATTAAGTAAACAGATTCCTGAATACCAATGTTATAAATAATTAATAGAGATACCAAATCATAACTCATCAATAAATATATATAACTTTCTGTGGACCTATCTAATAAAATTTTTTGTTTACATATACGGTTGTGCTCTTTGATTGGATAGTATCTGTATTTTCATTTAGTCCTTAAGTAATAGGACCTTGTTTGAGTGAGCACCCAGTTTTATATATTTTTTGGCTCTTTTTGACACTTTTTCAATCAACATTTGACTGTGTGCGTACCTATTTCTAATTAAATACTTGCTATACTGGAATTGCTGGTTTGAGATATTGCTGAGGTAACATACCAGAAAGATGAGCAAAAATGTGTCATACCTGCCCACAGGGAGATTATTGCATAAGTACTAGAAAGCAGTGTTCAATGTGATGTGCCAAAAGACCGACTGGCGTAAGTCTTTTAAGTAGACGTAAAATTAAAGTTTAATGGACAAGTCAAAGTCTTTTAATCATGAGCTAAGACAGTATCTTCTATACAGCCATTCTGCCTTTGGACCAAAGCAACTTCTTTAAGATGAAGTGATGTTAACTCTTATAGTATCCCTTTAATTGCACAACTTGGTTGATAATGGATATTAAATACTATCTGCAAAAAAAACTTGTGATTCAAATATAAACACAAAGCAAGCCAGTAGTAAGTGTGTTAATAGTGTTCTTTATCATTTAATATCTGCAGAGAGACTGACCGTGTTATTCATTAAAGAGAAATAAAACTGAATTTCAAATTCACGGTCAAAATAGCCTAACTGGAAAATCTCTCAAAGTCAAAGGTTAAAGACTGCTTCACTGACCTTAAAGGGACACTGTAGGCACCCAGACCATTTCAGCTCATTGAAGTGGTCTGGGTGCAATGTCCCTTAACCCTGCAATAGTAATTATTGTATCTAACAGACAGCCACTAGAGGGACTTCCTGAATTAAAAAGGACCTTTGGTCCGTTATCTGACACTGGACGTTCGCACGCTCTGCATGAGGACATCCAGCGTCAGATTTTTCCCCATAGAAAAGCATTGAATAATGCTTTCCTATGGGGAAATCCTAATGCGAGCGCGGCATGCAAGCGTGGGCGGAGCCTGACCCAGTGCCGAGGGACATTGTCGCTGGATTCAGGTAAGTTCAGGTTTTAACCCCTTAAGCACCGCAGGAGGGGGGTCGTGAGGAAGGGGGCACTGTAGGATTCTATAGTGCCAGGAACACTGCTTTGTTTTTGTGGCACTATAGAATGCCTTTAAAGTTGAAATTCACTTTGAAATCTCACTTTAGTTAATAACCCTGTAGACCAAGGGTGTCCTGAAAGGTAGATCCCCAGATGTTTTAAAACTACATGCTGCGTTGTCATTCTAAAGGCATGCAAAGCATCATAGGAGTTGTAGTTCTACAACATCTGGAGATCTACATTTTGGGCACCCCTGCTAGAAATTTGGTGCAATGTTAAGGTTCCGTTACACTTGCTGGGCCCTTTTTATTTAATTCATTCATTTTAATAGTATCGCTTTGTAAGCTCAGTAATTTTTATCTTCCATTCTGTCATGCAGTGTTTTTTCCTTTTGCTCCAGTAAGATAGTTGTGTTATTAGTTAGCACAGCAAATGTTTGTATTAGTTGTCGTTCATCTAACTGCTGCTCTGCCAGTGCACTGCCACTTGCAGTGGGAATTTATTGGAGTATTCATGTTGGCTATCCATTTACTGGCCTGGGTGGTGCTCACTGCCAATGCAGCAGTTTAAAAACTTTCAGAATTTTAGATCAGTCATGTCTTCTCTGGTATATTTTCAAAGGCTCTGTTGAATATCTCATGTAAATTAGATGGTTGAAAGGTCTACAACATTATATAGCATATTTTCTTGCATTCCTGGTCTCTAGCGTTTAAATTGTACGACCCTCAATTGCACAAATTGGAAACACTTTTTAGATCCATTAAAGTTCACCTTATTGGTGCTTCACACAGTTAATTAACCTTGTAACTTTAGTTGGCAAAAAGAAATGATTGAAGAATTGTATGATATTATAATGGCAATGTCTATTTCTGATGTCACAATTAACTTTCATGATCTGAGATTAGAAGAAGATACATTTTCGCTTTCATTCTGTAAAACTGACCCTGTACTATTTGCTCCCTTTGCAAAAGGAAGATGTAAGTGATGGATTAAAACAAGGCTTTCAAGGCAATATTTAAGCACCCTGCTCTAATTAAATAAGAAAAAATAAATGTAAGCAAAGTAAAATTTAGTTGTATAGCCTCAGCATTTCACTTAAAAGCAGAGATTGTAATTGTCACCACTATAGTCCAAAATAACAACTTTGTTAAAATTGAGTGGTCTTTAAAGTTGTGAATAGCTATATCTTTTTCCTAATTAAGTTTAAAACTCTTTGGTAAGGTGTGCATTCCTTAAGTTAACAGAGGACTGTTATCTTAAAGGAATGCACCATGACTACTTAATTGATTTGATTTTTTTCAGGCTTGGCAAAAGCAATGTTTCCTAATGTCCAAGACATTTTACTGGTGCATAGAGATTTCACTGGTGTATAGAGACCTCTTTCAATGGATACTTTTCTATGATAATGTGATACATGTAAAAAAAGAATTTCTTGTGCAGTAAATACTGATATAAGAATAGTACAAATATTTAGGTATGCATAAAAAATGATTTACAAAAATGTACAATCAAGTTTTAGGTGGACAGTCATTTCTCTGGTTTACACTGGTTTCTGTGTAAATTTGCATGCATATACAGACCTGTGGATGAAACACTCAGACAAGTTTATAGCTGTGTTAGTTTATTGGTATTCTGCCTCGATGCTTCCTTGCAAATGAGATGCACATCTTGGGTTTATATTTTCTTGTAATACACTGTATTGACTTTACAATAATGAAAATAGGTAATTGCGTTAGCTAGCGAACTGCTCTGCATTCCTAATGCTTTATTTTTCATTTTCTAGTTTGTAAGTCTTTTTTCATTCTTCTTGTTTTTTCTGGATATTTTAAAGAACACAGATATTTTTGTTTATTCCTCTGCACTGCTGGCCTTTGTAAAGTGGTGAACTGTCTAAGAAGAGCAATGGCAAATTCTGCATTGACCAAGGTCCTTCTTCCTATTGATCAGCAGTTATGAAATCCGTGTTGATCTGTAATATAACACTTAGGCGGTGCAGCAGGGTTAAAGAGCACTTCAGATGATGCTGCCACAAATGATTGTCAGTAGTTAATCGGAGGGAGTCATTACAGGACTGCTGATCTTTTACACAGAAACGTGTTTACAGGGTATGAAATTAACATTTCTCTACAGCAGCAAATAGCTGCTATACAACAGCATTAGTAGGGAAATATGAGACTTGGTGATGATTGGTTAGGTCATTGGGATCACCAGGCAGTGTAATTGGCACATTAGGCCTAGGAATATTTAACAAGCTCTGTTTAATGCTTTATTACTAGTACCATTGTGTGTTGCACTTTGCCCTAAAAACACTCCCGTGATCAGTAATCCTGAAATGGATTCCTAATATCGTCCGGTAATTCTGAGACATATTATACCTGTGAATGGTGCTGAAAATCTGAATCCAACAATTTGTTGTAGCAGAAGGTAGAAAGATTCGGAGGGTTTGAATCTGGATGTACATAGTTACATAGTTACATAGCTGAAAAGAGACTTGCGTCCATCAAGTTCAGCCTACCTCACATTTGTTTTTTGCTGTTGATCCAAAAGAAGGCAAAAAAACCCAGTTTGAAGCACAATTTTGCAACAAACTAGGAAAAAAATTCCTTCTTGACCCCAGAATGGCAGTCAGATTTATCCTTGGATCAAGCAGTTATTACCCTACATTGAAGATTATATCCTTGAATATTCTGTTCTTGCAAGTATGCATCTAGTAGCCGTTTGAACATCTGTATGGACTCTGATAAAACCACTTCCTCAGGCAGAGAATTCCACATCCTGATTGTTCTTACAGTAAAAAACCCTTTCCTTTGCCTTAGACGAAATCTTCTTTCTTCCAGTCTAAACGCATGGCCTCGTGTCCTATGTAAAGTCCGGTTTGTCAATAGATTTCCACACAATGGTTTGTATTGGCCACGAATATATTTGTATAATGTTATCATATCCCCTCTCAGGCGACGTTTTTCTAAACTAAATAGGTTTAAATTTGTTAACCTTTTTTCATAGCCGATATGTTCCATTCCTTTTATTAATTTTGTAGCCCGCCTCTGCACTTTTTCTAGTGCCATAATATCCTTCTTTAGAACAGGTGCCCAAAATTGCACAGCATATTCAATATGGGGTCTACATATTAGAAAGTTGTACTTCATATTATAATTTAGGAGATATATCTTTATAAATTTTAACAATCCAGGATTGAGTACTAAAGGAGTTTAGGAAGAGATTTTCTAATGTTCACAACCATGGGTTCTTTTCAGTCTATTTGAATGTATTGCAGTCTTTTCAATTTGCTTGAGTATAACAAGTTTCTTCTAAATGGAGTTGATAAACAGTCTCCATTAAAATCTAGACCTGTTTCTGGGTCATAGCTCTATTATATAAAGTATTGAATTGGCAAGACGAATTCCACAATGAATGGTGTCTATTGCACATAAACTGTTGTGTTTTTCCAGATGTTGATCTATTTTATGCAGATAGATTGGACTCATTTTTTCCTCAGAAGGTGAATAGCTGGCTTCTGAGGTTGTCTGACTGGCAGCACAATTATACATCTTTTAAACCTGCCATATTCTTGTGTTTATGGGTTTGGATGACTGTGTAAAGTGTGAATATGTTATACTGAAAATAGATACAGGATTATATGGTTTAAAAAATGTAACTTACCGTTTTGCTAAATATAAATGAAATTTACTCAAATATTGTCTATAGTTTAATGAACTTTGACTCGAAACTATGGGCATCATTACAACTTCATCATCATAAAGTCTTTGATTTCTGGTAGTCCTGGGCTCTGTATTAACCTATGGGGTTCAACCACCTATGTGTTTGAACGGGTAAAGCCCAAAGTGTTGTTCATGGCGCTCTTCTGCCTTTTCCCCATAGGTGCTGGTGATAGGCAGAGAGTGTTAGCTGACAATCTCAGCCTTTCCATGTTCTCTCCCACTGAGACAAAACTTTTAGAAATTTTTTTTTTCTTGGTTTCAATTCTTTTTTTTTTCTTGTTTTAAATTAAAACCAAAATCTGGCATTCACATTTCCTATATGCTTAGTATATGTGAAACTACGGTGCATTTAAAGGTCAATATATTTTTCATGACTCTTTTTTTTTTAAAGGAAATGCATGTTTTCTTTAACTAGCCTACTGTTAAGCAAGGTGATAGTCGCTATTAACCTTGAAATAAAGGGAAATGATATAGCAGGCAATTTGGTAATTATCCACAAATTGACAATGGAATTTGTATGTAGTAGTTGTCTGATGTAACAGATTTTTCAAAAATGCTTCTACCAGCAGATGTGGATAATTTGATGACCCAAATATAGCTGGTAACAAGTCTAATCACAATTGACTCTATTATTAAATGTGAGAACTATATGAGGTCACGTTTTCTTTTAGGTGTTGTTCGGCATTACATACTTATAATGCACACCCGTTAATGTAAAGCTCAGCATTTAATTTAAATACAGTTATATTTAAAATATTACATATAATATTTTGTATGTAAGGAGTATTTCAAATATAATTTACTAGATAAATAAATAGAAAGTTAACCAAGCGATAGGTCAAGACGGGGTGACCTATGACCATATCCCGCTGTCAAGCAGAGAGGTCACCTAGTTGTACTTATAGAACAGAGGATAACCCTAATTACTAAAATTTAAAAACGAAAGAAAACAATATCCAAGACATTCACTCCGAATGCAAGTAAACTGTCAGGGAAAGAGTACAACTTTAAATGAACTAGTAACCTAAAAGCCAAAAAATTCAAAACTTTTATTATCCATAAGTCATAGATCTACTATTGTCAGTTAGAGGATCCTACATAGGAACAGTGTGTACATAATAGGTATAAGGGAATCAGCCATGGAGTACAGATGAACGTTCCACTAAAAAATACCCTGCTATTAGGCAGAGACCAATGTGGGAAAATGAAGGAGGAGATAATTTAAATCTCTACAGAAAAAAATGAACCTCCTAGACATTAGCTAGTGCAATGTAAATTTACAAAAAAAACAAAGGGAGATTCTCCAAAACGATTATCGTAGCTCCAATCCCACCATAACCACCGTACCCCATAGAAATGAAACCTAATTCTGTCCCTAAACCATGGCACCGCATGAATCTAGTGCCTACCTGAACCAAAGACCCTATATAAATAACCCAAAAGCAAAAATATAAGGTGCTATCTAATGAGTGCAAGAGTGCATATTAAAATAAATAAGTATACCTCGATCTGTACCCCATGGCTGATTCCCTTATACCTATTATGTACACACTGTTCCTGTATAGGATCCTCTAACTGACAATAGTAGCCCTATGCCTTATGGATAATAAAGGTTTAGATTTTTTTGGCTTTTAGGCTACTAGTTCATTTAAAGTTGTACTTTTTCCCTGACCGTTTACTTCCATTCGGAGTGAATGTCTTGGATATTGTTTTCTTTTGTTTTCTATTTAAAATATAAAATTCCTAAACAGAGCGACGTCAAAATCAGAGAAGGTATATTTGTTGGTCCTCAGATTAGAAAATTACTAAAAGATGAAAAGTTTCTCCAAAAATTAAGCAAAAACTGTTAGGTGGAGTGGGGCGATTGGGCTGGCAGACATTTTTTGTGGTTCAACTGTCTGACCCACAAAGCATAATAAGGACGAGATTTCAGCTACCATACTACCTTGTTAAGGTGGAAGAGCCTGCCAGCTTTAACCCGGTGCTGGTCAGGAATGGAAAGTGTGCCGTACGGAACCTTGCCACGGGTTCTTAGAGGGGCATGCTTGCCAGCCTCCTGCCAAAAGAATATAGGCCCTTTTTCATCTTGTTCCCGCGAACGCAGGCAGGATCACCTGCGTTCGGTTCTACATAACTGGCACTGTTCGGTGGAAATGTTCCCACGAATAAGGTGAACAAGCTTGTTTGGTGGAAATGTTCCCACGAATAAGGTGAACAAGCTTGTTTGGTTTTTAAACTATCGAACTAGACCGATCGCAAGCCCTGATTCTCTAGAACTGTTTTGAACAGGAGCCTCATGTACGGTCGGTCAAATTATGACTTCCAAAGAAATCCTGAACCTATCTGGGTGATTTTTGGATATGTTGGTCCCCCAGATCGGGGCTATCAGGGGATGTGACTGTTGTGGTGTTTCCATGTGTTTTGGGAGTACTTTCAGGAGGTTGTAAAATGTGTGTTTTCTGTGCCTGGAGATAATTGAGTTTAGTACAGTTCGTGACTCAATTATGTCCCAGGCACAGAGGAGGGATTATCTTGTATTATGTGGGAGTGTCCTGGACTTGAGAGCCAATGTAATCATGTGCATTTTTGCTGTAGTCTACGCTCAGGACCAGTGGGGAATGCCCTTGGAATATGTAACCTGAAACCCCTTGCAAGGGGACCTAAATATAAGGCCAGTTGTGGCTGCCATTAAAGAGAACGCTTTACCCCTTCATGAAGTCTAGGCTCATGTTTGGGGGATTGGAGAGCTATATTCACTCTTGGGATTGCTATAATCACTATACTACTTTGCTTTGCTCTCTGGTCTAGGAGAGGTCTACCCACTGGAAGCTGGATCCTGGTCTTGGGTCCAGGGTGGGTGGACAGCGAGACCCCAACCAAGCTGCGGCCGTTTGTGCGTTTTTTGGTGGTTGTGGTGTCTGGTGCAGTGCTTATGGTACTCAAGGATTACTAGGAAGCAGCGACTGACGAGGTTCCTGATCAGGGTGCCAGGCGGTCCGTCACAGAAAGCATTTGATTTATTTCTTAAAGTTATATAGGAAAATATTATTAGTAGCATTTATATAATGTCAAAATATTCTGCAGCGGTTCACAGTAAAAAAAAAAAAATATGGTGGGATATTTCAGTGTGAAGAAAGCCCTGCTCAAACGAGGAGTTTATAATCTATGAGGATTTGAAGTAGGCAGATTTCTAGTTTCGAAGACATTGCTGTTACTATTGCTCTCATCAGCCGATGAATGCAGATTTTATTTCTGCTGAGACATATAACATGAGGAAAGACACTGAATCATGCAACACTTTAAAAGATATCGCTACTGAGAACCAAACTACAAAATATATCAAAATTGAGGCAAGCATCTCATATGATACTAAATCTGGCTAACGTATGCGTGGGTATTGGCAAACAAGGGGAATGTGCCTAGGTTTGGAGGGGTTAAAAATAATTTGATATACTAACAAATTGACAGTGAAAATTCAATTTAACTTTAGTGAAGAAACCCACTACTTTTTATTTCTCAGATGTCGTCATAGTTTTAAAATACTGAAATTATTAAAAACAGTCATAGTTCTTACTAAGAAAAGTTATTTTTTTCTATATTATATTTTACGGACCCTGAGGTCTCTTTTCTCACTACCGAACCTGCCCTGAAACATTAGCTGCCTCTAGTGTAGTGGAGTAAGTTAACAAGGAGATCCCATAATGCAAAGCCTGTCAATATGTGTGTTCTCAATGAGGTAAAGTGGCTTTATGGAGATGACAGAACGGTCTAAATGTCTTTCTGACTTTATTACATATTTTTACACCTTTAATTCTTCTCATTTTTGATTTGAATTCATAGTTTGAAAATTATTTTGAAACGTGTGCTTCTTAACTCCCTACAGTTATTTGATTTATGTTCTTGTTATATTAGTGCATTTAATGTAAAATATGAAAATCATGTTGGGTAACCTTTGTTTTTTTTAATTATATTGTAGTCTATTGCTTTTATTTGTCTTTTACCTTTTTTTTTTGCTGGAAGGTATTAAAATATTGTGAAAAATGCACTAGTTCATTTCTCACTGTGCTCATCTGCTCTGAGCAGCAGTCGGCCAGATTCTTGCTGAAGCCGAAAATCTCTTGCTAAGCTGAACAATGAAAATCAAAGTACTATTGTTATTCTGAGCCTGTTTTTAGATGAAGTACATTGGCGCATCTGTTATTGATTTATTTGTACTTGGGAATGAAAGAATCTGTCTCTGTTTAATAGAAACAGGTTTTATTTCTATGGCTCATAGACACCACAGTGTTCTAGATATCCCAAGAAAGATGCCACATGTTGAGAGCACAATAAGCCCCTGTAAAAGAAAAGGCGCAATCAGGCTGATAATAAAATAGAGCTTCTGTTCGAAGTCCTGTAATAGGGGACAACATTTCATGAGTTGGGAACACTGATTCATTGATTTCTCTCTATTTTATAAGATGAATATTGTTGAAAAGTTTGAACCAGCAATGTTCAACATTTGCTACTGATATAGAACACTTTTGTTATTATCATTTAGTAACTTTTAGAAAAATGGTACACTTCAATGTAATACTTGAGTTGGTGATCATCAAATTCATTGAAATATTAGACATGTTAAAAAATAAATAAAATCATATGAAAAAAAATTTGTTCCTATGCTGTTTTACCTTTGGAAGTTTGAGATCAGTTTCCTCAATGTATAACTTAAACTGTTTATCTGCTTTTTGGGATTACAAAATTAGCAAATGTGGTAGACCAGGCATTTCTGAGTGTAATAGGTAGCTTTAGATCGCTTGAACAACGCTCAGAAGATTATTGAAAATAGTATTATTTGGCTGAGCAATTCTTCCTTTTCGCAAGTCAATTTTATGGTGTGCTTTTTATATTATTATTTTTGCACTTGTATATAGGGGGGGAGGGTGGAGGCTACAAATTAGTGTTAAATGCCTCAAGGGTAGTATTTCACAATTTCTCCTTGGTGACCATGCAAGGCTTTACCTAATAACAAATAATCTATTTCACAGGTGAGTGCATTCAGTTTACACCTGAATAGGATATTAGATAACCCACTCAAAGAACAGGGATGGCATAGTGCCCTAATGGCGATGTGAGAGCCACTTAAGGTTTTGGCACTGGGGCAATGTTAAGTATATACACCATTGTCTGTACTCACAATTGTTTTTCTGTCTTGATGACTGCTTATTTTGCTTCTTGTTATGCACCTATGTTTATTCCAGTGTTCCAAATGTATGAATCTTATTTATACTTGATATAAAACTGACATTGTACGTTCAATTCAAGTCACTATATCTCCTTAAGCGGATAATATGTTATTTAACATACTGTTCACTTAATGGGATACTGTAGCCACCCAGATAACTTCAGCTTATTGAAGTGGTCTGGATGCAATGTCCCAAGTCCCTTAACTCTGAGTAGATAACTATTGCAGTTTTTAAGAAACTGCAATAATTACCTGCTAGGGTTAACTCGACCTCTAGTGGCTGTCTGACTTCCAGGCTGTTAGGTTACTTTTGGTCTCCTAACTAACTGCTGGACGTCGTTACGCTATGCATGGGGACATCCTGTCACCCAAAACACCACAGGAAAGCATTGAATAATGCTTTGCTATGAAGAAATCCTAATGCGAGGCATGCGCATTAGGTCTCCCCCGCTGGCTGACGTCGGTGGGGGAGGAGAGAAGACAGACCTGAGCCAGCCTTGAGGGACATCAATGCTGGACCCATGTAAGTGACAGGAGTTTTTGTTTTTGTTTTTTTTAAACCCTTCTGCACCACGGGGGTGGGACCTTGACAGAGGGGGAAGGTATAGTGCCTGTAAAATTAGTTTGTTTTCCTAGCACTATAGTTTCCCTTTAACAATGCACACCCCGGCATAATTTGCCCTGCTTGGGAATACTTCCCATGGTAAAGCACCGGAGCAAAAGGAAAAGGATGGCTGTGTCCAAAAAAGACAGATTCAGTAAGTAAATCCCTCCCATCTGGCCAGTGGATCCTGAGCGGCGATGTTCCATCTGGGATCTGCACTTTAAGATTGAGTCATAGTTTGTTTTATATTTTTATGTTATTTTTCAGTTTTGAATGCATTAAAGGACCACTATAGTGCCAGGAAAACATACTCGTTTTCCTGGCACTATAGTGCCCTCAGGGACCCCCTCCCACCGGGCTGGATGGCGAGGAAAGGGGTTAAACCTACCTTTATTCCAGGGCCGGGCGGGGAGCTCTCCTCCTCCTCTCCGCCTCCGATCCTCCTCCTGGGCTGAATGCGCATGCGCAGCAAGAGCTGTGCGCGCATTCAGCCGGTCTCATAGGAAAGCATTCATAATGCTTTCCTATGGACGCTTGCGTCTTCTCACTGTGATTTTCACAGTGAGAAGCACGCAAGCGCCTCTAGCGGCTGTCAATGAGACAGCCACTAGAGGATTTGGAGGCTGGATTAACCCATTTATAAACATAGCAGTTTCTCTGAAACTGCTATGTTTATAAAAAAGGGGTTAATCCTAGAGGGACCTGGCACCCAGATCACTTCATTAAGCTGAAGTGGTCTGGGTGCCTAGAGTGGTCCTTTAACTCTCAACCAAGATAGGGTGGATGGACTTTTTCTTAGAAGTGGGACATCTTAATCATTTTTTGCTACAAGTGTTATATAATCTATTATGGATGAGGGAAGGTGCACATATTGAATTGAAGTTAATTAGTGATTTTAATTAATTAGTGATGATAAAGGTTATATTTTAACGATTCCTCATGTGCCATTTTTTTTATTACTTCTCCTTGTTTTCATTCAGTGGTTGATGTGAAATCCGGATCAGCCATACTGATAAGCAAGTTCTCTATTTTGTAATAACCTAACCCTATATGTTTAATAAATAATTAAAGACACTAGACAACTCTCCAAGATCTTGTCAGTATTGATATGATCAATAAGACCAGATTGATAAGACATTGTTCACAACCTGGACTTTTGCATCCAAGATGTGATTTAGCAAAAACAAGAAAGCAAGACATTCGGTTAGGTAGAATATTGGTAAGACTGCGCGAATATTCTCTGTAACTCATTGTTGACCGTACTAGCATATTCTCATTAACTGTAATGCAGTGCCTGAGAATTAATAAACATGGCAGTAAGAAGATGAAACATTGTTTGGTCTGACTCTCTTCATAATCCTGTATCAGGGGTTAGCCCCCATTTAATGTTGTTGGGTATATTTATAATAGTTCATTGTTGTGTAAACTAGAAATGTATGCACTTTTATTCAAATTAAACTTGTGTACTGTGACATATACGCTTTAAAGTTATGAGGAAATAGAATTGTGATCCATATATTAAAGCAAATGTTATTTAACTTTTCTTTGTGCTACTTTTTATCTCTAGATGTGCGGCAGAGTGTTAAAACATTTTAATAAATTTTTCGTTTTTCTTTTCTAGTAAAACTTGGAATGTTATGTGTCACTGAGCAATCTGCTCGGTGTTCTCTTGCAGTGTTTGCATTCCCTGAGAATATAGGCCTTGTTTGGTGATCACAGTCTTGTGTTGATCCTGGATTAAGTGACGTTTCATTGAGAATGGAAAGAGAATTTATCAACAGAATCCATAATCTCCCTTTGTACAATGAAAAAGACCTTCTGTTCCCTTGCTACAATCCTTGTCCATGTACTTAATAAAAGGCAGAATCCCTAAGTGTAGCAACCTATATGTGTTAAAAGGCTAGAACACTAATTTGTATGCACAATACAGTGTATATAAACTTTTTAGAAGCAGGGCTGGACTCTAATCTATGCCAGCCCCATTGTGCTAATATATATATATTGGCATATTTCATTTTCTAATTCAAAATATTAGTCATTTCAGGGTAATTAACCCCTTAAGGACCAAACTTCTGGAATAAAAGGGAATCATGACATGTCACACATGTCATGTGTCCTTAAGGGGTTAAATTACACAGTTAAAGGACCACTATAGTGCCATGAAAACATACTCGTGCTCCCACCCTCAGGGTCCCACTCCCGCCGGGCTCTGGGGAGAGGAAGGGGTTAAAATCTTACCTTTCTCCAGCGCTGGACGGGGAGCTCTCCTCCTCCTCTTCGGCTGAATGCGCATGAGCAGCAGGAACTGCGCGTGCATTCAGCAGGTCTCATAGGAAAGCATTCATAATGCTTTCCTATGGACGCTTGCGTCTTCTCACTGTGATTTTCACAGTGAGAAGCACGCAAACGCCTCTAGCGGCTGTCAATGAGACAGCCACTAGAGGCTTTAGAGGTTGGATTAACCCATTTATAAACATAGCAGTTTCTCTGAAACTGCTATGTTTATAAAAAAAAAAGGGTTAACCCTAGCTGGACCAGGCACCCAGACCACTTCATTAAGCTGAAGTGGTCTGGGTGCCTAGAAGTGGTCCTTTAAGCTTACTCATATGCAGACACAGACAATCTCACCAACACAAGCTCATTGATACACAGGCTCACAGACAATCCCATTGATATACATAAGCTCATTGACAAAAACACAAGTTCACTGATGCACACATATAGGTTGACTGACAGACAATCTCAATGACACACAAGCTTATTACAGACAATCTCACTGACGCACACACGCTCACTACAGACAAGCCATTGATAGACACATGCTCCCTACAGAAGAGCTTAGTAACACACAGAATCACTACAGACAAGCTCACTGACACACACATGGTCACTACAGATAAGCTCACGGTCACACATATGCTTACTACAGACAAGCTCACTGCACACACATGCTCACCACAGACAAGCTTACTGGCACACTCATGCTCCCTACAGACAAGCTCACTGACACATATACAAGCTCACTCCCTAGCAGACACACACACAAGCTCCCTCACTAGCACACACACAAACCCCCTCACTAGCAGATGCACGGCGCGCACACACACAGACGCTCACTCACTAGCAGGCACACACACACACAAACTCACTAGCAGATGCGCGCGCACACACACAGAAGCTCACTCACTAGCAGATGCACACAAACACAGAAGCTCAAGCTTATTAGTAAAAATATGAATAAAGGTCAGGGTGAATTTAATTTAAAGGAGCACTATAGGGTCAGGAACACAAACATGTATTCCTGACCCTATAGGGTTAAAATCACCATCTAGACACCCTGGTCCCCTTATGCCTCCCTAAATATAGTAAAATCTTACTTGTATTCAAGTCTGCAGCTGCTTACTTTGTTCCTTTTTACTTTTGACCTGTCTGCTGACATCAGGTAGGGTGGATGGACTTTTTACTTTAGACCTGCCCACTGCCTGCTGACATCAGATAGGGTGGATGGACTTTTTCTTAGAAGTGGGACATCTTAATCATTTTTAGCTACAAGTGTTATATAATCTATTATGGATGAGGGAAGGTGCACATATTGAATTGAAGTTAATTAGTGATTTTAATTAATTAGTGATGACAAAGGTTATATTTTAACGATTCCTTATGTGCCATTTTTTTTATTACTTCTCCTTGTTTTCATTCAGTGGTTGATATGAAATCTGTATCAGCCATACAGATAAGCAAGTTCTCTATTTTGTAATAACCTAACCCTATATGTTTAATAAATAATTAAAGACACTAGACAACTCTCAAGATCTTGTCAGTATTGATATGATCAATAAGACCAGATTGATAAGACATTGTTCACAACCTGGACTTTTGCATCCAAGATTTGATTTAGCAAAAACAAGAAAGCAAGACATTCGGTTAGGTAGAATATTGGTAAGACTGCGCGAATATTCTCTGTAACTCATTGTAGACCGTATTAGCATCCAATCACAATGCTTACCCATAGGATTGGCTGAGACTGACAAAGAGGCAGATCAGGGGCAGAGCCAGCACAATTCAAACACAGCCCTGGCCAATCAGCATCTCCTCATAGAGATGAATTGAAACACTGAATTTCTATGAGGAAAGTTCAGTGTCTGCATGCAGAGGGAGGAGATACTGAATGTTTGGATGCATTTTAGGCAGCAATGACCCAGGAAGGATCTCTAACAGACATCTTAAAAGTGGCCAGTGAAGTTATCACTAGGCTGTAATGTAAACACTGCACTCTGAAAAGATAGTGTTTACAGGAAAAAGGTAATGATTCTACTCACCAGAACAAATTCAATAAGCTGTAGTTTTTCTAGTGACTCTAGTGTCATAGTGTAAATAAAGTCTTGGTTTAAATTGTTCTTTTTAAAAATAAAAACTCATTCTTCTTGTTTTTTTTTTACAATCTTTAATATTTGCAACCAGATGGATTTTCATATTTAGAATAATAACTCTTCATATTTTAATAGTTACATCAGAACTGATTTTAGATAATTATGAAGTTATTGCAAGGTGAACTGACTCCAGTTTAACAGTGCAATAACTCATGTTTGAAGAACAATTTCAATTTAACATGCTCATTGTGTGTAGATTTGCAGAGTAACAATGAACTTAAAGGGGCTCTCCAGTGCCAGGAAAAGAAACAGTTTTCCTGGCACTGCAGGTCCCCTCTCCCTCCCACCCCCCATCCCAAGTTGCTGAAGGGGTTAAAACCCCTTCAGTGACTTATCTGTCCCTCGGCACTGGTTCAGGGACTGCCCACGCTCCTCCCCTGCCGTCATCCGGCGGTGGGGACCTATTGAGCATGCTCTGCCACCAGCGGGGGAGACCTAATGCGCAGCAATGCAGTGCACGCGCATTAGACCCCCCCATAGGAAAGCATTGAAAAATGCTTTCAATGCTTTCCTATGGGAATTTTAGCGACACTGGAGGTCCTCACATAGCGTGAGGACGTCCAGCGACGCTATAGCACACTTTTCATGCGCTATAAACACGGAAGTGCCCTCTAGTGGCTGTCTAGTAGACAGCCACTAGAGGAGGAGTTAACCCTGCAAGGTAAATATTGCAATTTATGAAAACTGCAATAATTACACTTGTAGGGTTAAGGGTGGTGGGAGTTGGCACCCAGACCACTCCAATGGGCAGAAGTGGTCTGGGTGCCTGGAGTGTCCCTTTAAAGGAAGACTCCACACACACAAAGTCCATGTGAAATTGGTTCTTTTCCAAGGTAATTAAGAAATGTATCTTCATCTGTCAGTCAAACAGCCAAGGTTTTTTTTCCCTACTTCCATTGATTACTTCCTGCCATCTCCCCAAATGTAAAATTATCCTGCAACTTTATTTTTATTTTCTGTTTCTCATATTTTTCTGTATCTGCATGTGTTCACGGATCTATAGTCCATCCTGCATCCTTCCTGCCCAAGTCTGGAGAGTGCTTGCCCTTGTAGGACTTCTCATTGAGCTGTCTATGAATTGAAAAGCAACATGGGTGAGAAAGCATTTCACAATCAGAAGCTTCTCATTGAGAGCATCTCATTGGTCATTTCCATGGAGCATGGAGAGGGCTCGCAAAGGCTGCAGTCATAAGAAATGCAGCTATTGCAAGCCGTGTTGAAATATACCCCGAATAAAAAAATGTAAAAAAAAAAATTAAATACACGCATGCTTACATTTGATATATATATCTTCTAAATAACATTTTTTTATATTTTTTTAAGTTTTTTTTTTTTTTTTTTAAATGTGCATTGATCCTTTAAGGTCTTTTTCTGAAATGTGTATATGTATGTTACCTCTGCAGACGCAAGTTCAATTAATTTGGATTAATGAAATTCCTTAATCAAAAAATTTAAATATTGCATGAATATAAAACCCCATGCTACATAATTAATCTATATTTCACGGTGAATACACTTTGGATTACTATGTATCTTAAATAGAAGCCTATGTTTTAGATGTTTATTTTATTCAAAGAAATATGATTTATATATATATATATATATATATATATATATATAGATATGTTTGTTTTATCCATACTGGCAAAAGGGGCAAATAATTGGATGTATTAGATGTACGCTAAGAGTCTGCAGTACGTGGTAATGCTGTTTTAAAACACCGAAGACACAAAGCACATAATTTTCAGATTTTTTTAGTGCTATTTCATCTGAACCTATCAATAGTAATATATTATTATTATTATTATTATTATTATTATTATATATGTAGCTTAACAGCTCTTGCAGTGAGTATTTTTCTTTGCTTAATGTAGTGGTTCCAGTTCAGAGAGGCAATGTTTCCATTGTTTTCTAAGGCCAGACTTACTCAGATAACCACTAGAGGCCCTTCCTGGTGTGGCCCTGCAATTTTTGTAGGATGGACATTCAGCATCCTCTTGCTCTGCTTGACGATTCAGTATGAGACTAATTGAGCCAAATTATCTGTATGAGGAGATGCTGTTTGGCGTAGTGTGGCAATTGCGATGCATATACCTTAACATCTAGTGCTTCCCTGTAGAATCTCAGCCGGGTAGAGTGGCAGCCACGGCAGGCGTTTTATAGAAATGATTTTGATATTTACAACCAAAGATTATTCCTTTCTATTAACTAAGAAAGTGTTTAACATTTCTGACTTTTTCTGATCCACAGTTACTAATACACCCATGTCTGACTTTTATTTTTGAGGTTTTAGAATGTATGAACTTTTTAGGGTTTAATTTTATTTTGCTATTTGTTCTCCATTTTTCAACTTCTATGTATGACCCATCTAATTACCCTTTTGTAAATATTGTTGCAATTACATAGCACAGTAGATCACAATGGTCTGAGTCACTGGTATTCTCAATCAAAAATGACTATGCTCTGCATTACTGGACATCAGCAAGATTGAATAATTTAATTTGTATCAGAAATTGTTTGTCTGACTGCCACCAGTAGGCATAGGCATAATGTAAACAGTGATGTTTTTCAGAAACCACACTGTTTTCTTTTACTAGGCTTTTGAGGAAAGTTGTATGCACCTAAATAACTTAAGATAAAATTATTTGGGTTCTTAGACTGTCCCCTTAACATTAGTCTGTGAGCTGTGTTGTCAGCACAGAACATTAGTATTCTGCACAGGAGTAGAAACTGCTAGATTATATGATTGTGCATACACAATGCCAGGCCTCACAGGCAGTGTCTACTGCACATGCTGATGTATACAGCAACCACCTGTTTAGCAGTGGAATTAAAATAAATTGGCAAATAAGTCTTGGATAGTTGTATCATTATATTTTATTAATGAGAGACTTTTGGATTACATGTGAAGAAATCTGTTAATAAAGCTAAATGGTTAAATGATATCTTAAACTGTGTTCCTGTCTCATTTAAAGGTTGCACTGGTAAGACAGAAGAATGAATATATCAATGACAAACCATTTGGAAAGAAGGACTGGCATGACTATGAGCAGATTAGAAAAGATCATGAAAAAACAGGTAATCTTAACATTTTGTCAGTAATGCTAGTTATATATTTGGTTTACTTTCCATCACTTCATCGAAGTTGCATTGCTAATACATTTTCATTGTATAAATCAGTTTAAAAATATTCCCAGCAGATTAATTTTATTTTCATGTCTCAAGCTGGTTTGAGTTTTGTTCTAATTAACATTTGAAAAGCTGGAAAATGTTGATGTGGTGACGGCCAGTACACTTTTCAAACCCTTACAGACTTATTCTCTGAAGTGAGAATTGCCAGGTGAAATTAATGTGAATTTAAAATTTAAGGCGAACGTGGCAAAACTAAAAACAGAGTTGACTTTTTTTTTTTTTTTTACAATATTTTTTCTAATCAGCTATTTTGGCCCTAATATTGAAATCGGCTTTAATTCCTCTGAACTCACATCAATTGTCACTTGAGTGAATAACCCTGTAGATGATTATTATGATAAAATAACGAAAGCAGCTTTGTCAAAGTTTGTAGTGTTGGCATAATTTGCTACTCCAATGGGTGTCTGGTGGCCACGATGTGCAAGGGAAGGTGAGTTATATTTGCCTAGACCTGTCCCTCTAGGACGCCACTATTGTTTTCATTCTGGACTTCTTCAGCTCCTAGCAGCTGAGCCCACATCAGTGTTGTATTCTCACGCATGCTCAAGAATACAATGCTGTGGTTTATAGATAATCCCACAAGACCACAGGTTCCTCCATAGACAGAGCCTTTTTCTCTGCAGCCGTCACTGGTGACAGTAGGGTGAAATTACAAAACTTGACAAAATTCTTTGGTCCTTTTTTTTTTTTTTTTTGGCAAGTGTGTGAAATATACTCAGATCAAGTGAAATTCCAAAAACATCAATGTGAGTATTTCATAAAGTTTTTATCTTTAGGTAAAACTAATTTGTGGGACAGGTGGTGACAGTGTCGCTCTAAAATTATTTGAATATAGCCATTTCAATTTGCACTACACCAAGCATGTCAAACTGGTGTTATAGCAGAGTAGGCACAGTATGTGTGTGTGTCTGTGTCAGATCAGATTTGGCATAGGGTACAGTGGTTTAGTAGAGTGGGGGGACTGGGATTTAGTAGAGGGTGATGCTGTTTTTTTTTAATATACTGTACTTTTTAAAATAAACCTACGTTTCTATGAAGATTTAAGGTATTTTTTTTTTTTTTTGCGGCCCACATAAACTTAAACCTTGTTTATGTGGCCGGTGCCAGACTTTGAGTTTGACATGCATGCACTACACTGTTGGGATGTGATTAAACTTCCAATGAAATCTGAAGATGTCAGGCATAGAGGATACTGGGTCTTTAGAGCAAGATGATGTTTGGTTTTGCAATTTATGGGTTTTAAAACGTGAATGTGTACCAGCAATGCATACAGTAGTACATTGCAGTATTACTTGTAGCTGTAATATATATGTAACATACAATTGTAAGTCAGAATATTAAGGTAAATGTCCATCTTTTGCACAGCTCAGTATTGCTGTAGTCTGTCTCTGGTGACCTGATTGTTTCTTCAAGTAATGAAGTTGTTTCATTTTAGGAAATGGTGAACAGGGCAAGCCTTTTCAAATGACAGATGCAGATCGTGTAGACCAGGCATACAGGGAAAATGGATTCAATATATACGTCAGCGACAAAATCTCTTTTAATAGATCCATTCCAGATATCCGGCATCCCAAGTAAGTATGCTCTGTAATTTGGACAACTGTTTATTAAGTGGAGGCAGATATTTTATTTAAAATACCACTGGAATAAGGAATCCTGCCACATTCGTAAATCAGCTGTGGCATTGGTATCCAGAGAAACCATTCTGTCCTCGGAGGGCGGGTTAGATAATAGACATAAAAGCCTAGAAATAAAAGACCTGCCATGTGGGATGATTCTCATGGCAAAATTCAACGATCCCAACAATGACTGTAACTCCTTCCGACTACAACAACCTTGTCGCAAGTAGTCACCAATGTCTGTTAGTATACGTTGAATCTTGTCATGCGGCAAGCTGGCCTCCATGGCCACTGAGTCCAGTTCAATACCCAGAAAGTTGACCATAGTATCTGGACCTATAGTTTTGGAGAGGGAAACAGGGACCCCCAACCTCCCAAACAGCTGGGCCTGCCAAGCGTATCCTTTATTACTCTCTCTGATCTTACAGGCACACCAGGGTTTTGTTGCACTGCAACCGAGGTGTCAGCGGGACAAAAGTTGGTACTGTGGAAGGTAGATGAACACAAGGCACAAGCTGGCATCCTGAGGCCGGCGAAATGCCTGCAAAACAACTCTGTATCCAGCCTACTCCAAGTAATCACTGTATTAAACTGGGCCAGAGTTGCTGCCACCTTAGCTGAAAAAGACCTATGGTAATCATAGAAAGCATATCCGCCGTACTTGTGTCCCAAGTCAACCAGCTTGTGCATGTATGTATCCAATTCTTCTCTTCTCTGAGGAGAATTGGTACATACTACATCTCTGTAAATCCCAAATTCCAGTACAAACTCTGGAACAGTCAGTTTTTTATTGAGCCTGGGATCCCTGGCTTTGAGGACTACTGATAGATCCCCATAAGCATAGGTCTTGTTCTCCACTATATCCTGGGAAGCAATGAGGAGTGATATAAGATTCACGTCCTTAACCCTCCAGGATATTTTTACGTAGCTGAAGGGGCGCCATGTGGGCAGGTGTGATCATTAGTGTATCTGTGATACCGGAGCCACAACATTACCCTGTAAGATTGCCGTAGCGGCCGCTAGGGACATGACATTGGTCAAAGGTGGGTCAGTTGTTGTATGGCCCGCCTCCAGTCTATCAATCCTATCCCTGATCTGGCCCATGGAGGAGAGGAGAGTGTCCATCATGGTTTGTAAGTCAGGCATGTTCCTGGTGCCACTCGACCCTTCCCCAGCTCCGGTGTTATCGGTGTTCATATACATTAATCTGAACAATTCCGCCTTCCTGGCAGTAGCCAGGAATGGAATGCTCCTCCTTCGTAGTTCAGCCTGTATGCGCGGAATGGTCCATAACCTAATTGATGATGGACTGACAGATTCTCATCCTCTGGAAGGTGAACCAGACCGAGCTGGGGAGTGAGGGAGTGAAAGTTCGTCTCCACCTTCTGGAGCTTGAGACATACTAAAAAGGAAAATTGAGATTTAAAATATTTACATGTAGGTACTGGCTGCTGACTAGTGCCAAGTGGCAAAGAAATTTGCTTCATTGGTGATAGGTGAGGCCCTACTAGTGCCAAGCGGCTTGAGAGGCTCTAACTATGCATTGGGCTGAGGGTTATACCACGGAACGTAGTGGTAGGGTGTTGGCCTCTCTGTGAGTAGTAGAAGAAAAATAGAATTGGCCGTGACAGGTGAGTCCCCCTCTATGCAACATGCGAGGCGGCTAGCTATGCGTTGGACCGAAGGACGAATACCTCAGAGTATGAGGATGGGTGTTGGGCTTGCGGGACCACTAATATAAGGCATAGAGGCCTATAGAAACTAAATATGGCTCCTATTGCCCTGAAAAGCCATAACTTACTCGCTAGGGGACTGAGAAAAAGGAAAACGTGTAGGTTTCTCTGGTTTGTATACGTGATGTCGGAGAACGTACCTGTAAGACTTGTAGCTTAAGTGCGTAAGCCAAGTCTGGAAGGATCCCTGATAATTCGTGCCCCTAAAGTACGTGGAAGGGAAAATAAAACTAAGGCACTGAGTCTTTGGAACGTACGTAGTCAAAAGAATGATGCCTACCTGTCAAGTTTGTCAAGAATGAAAATTTTAGAAATCTTCAGCCAGGTTAATAGTCGTGGTAAATCTAGATGTGTCTGTGCGCCAATGCTAGTCTATAAAATATGCAACATGGATACTATAAGATGCACGTATCTTTGATCCTCAGTATATGACAGAATGATATGGCTTGTTTTGCGAAACTAAAAGTGACTTCTAGCATTTAATGCAAGTATATTGGTATATAGGTCCATGCAACATAAGTCTGGTATGAGTAGTGTGACCACTTGGTGTTCCTTTAATTAGTTAACACCCTTCTGACGTTGCCGCTAACGTGATTATTTATACAACAATATTTAATTGACCGTTGATCCCTTAGCTTTGAAAACTAATATCCGGGATGTAACCGCTATATACCGTGACCATAGTAATCGTGAACCGTTATTTGTCGTAATTTTTTAACATTTCAGTGACATCTTAATACCAGATACTGTGAAGCTGTTGTACTTAAGTATGGAATGCTTTGTCATAGGAGTCATATCATAAATGTACACATACCCTGTTATAACCAGCAGAACATAAATTGTACTTGAATGGTAAATTTTTTTGATAGAAGCAGCTTATAACCTATTTTAACAGAAAGCAACAAAGTAACTATGATGAAACTGAATCTGTGTGAAAAATACATATTGCCTAGGTAAACAACCGACATGAAAATAAGAATAAACCAGGTGTTTCTCTGTTCCTTCTGACTTAATGTAGTCAGGATCTATCCCACCAATCTTTGCATAATACATAAAATACCCCCCGCACAAGTGGCAATCAGATGGCATAACTGACCAACCCCACGTAGAATAAAAGTCACTATAATCTAAAATTTCTCCCCAAGGGAGCACATATAAGGAGATATTTGTTAAGTCCATTAAGGGTTAATATCGGATGCAAGTACGATGCAAAAGTAAGTAACTTTCCCTCCCCTTTGAGCCGAGTGTGCTCTTGCCGAACGGGATATGTTTGTCCTGCACGAGAGCGGCCTGATCCGAACAAGCATGTCCGGGGGGGCCCCCGACGTATTACAACTCTCTGTACTGCAGAAAGAAGAAAGTCCGGTCAGGTAGCTAGGCTTCTAACGCGTCCCTTGCATCTGTTTGCACACTGGAGAATACCCGGAAGTGACGTAACGCTCAAACCGGAACGAAAGCCTAGGAGGAGTATAGGGCCGAGGATGAGTATTTATATCAGCACTGGCCCCTCCCACAACTCCAGGCTCCGCTTTTACACACACACACACACACACACACACACACACACACATATACACACACGTGACAGAATATTGAGTATTTTGAAAAGTGTGTGTGTGTGTCAGAATATTGAGTATTTTGAAAACTGAGTTTAAATATGTATCATGGACCAATAATCTTCCCCACATCTTAGATGTGGTACAAAATTGTAGGAACATGAATCCAATGCAGGTTTTTACAGTGTAACCCTACATTCCTAAAGTGCTCCTAAACAGCTGTAGTTAATTGATAATGAGTATTTGTTAAATGGTGTATCCTGTGGCTGTTAGATTAAACCTGTGTGTGTGTGTGTGTGTGTGTGTGTATGTATATATATATATGTATTAAGGCAATTTGCCTGCATTTGTGGGAGGTGCTGGTTTTCTAACCCTAGCCTACTTAAGGCACTCCCCTTGCCTGGCTCCTTACCGTTCGAGGTCAGCGTTGAATGAGGATCCACTTCCGGGTTCTCTCAGACGCCATCTTGGTTTCAGTATCCAGGAGGTTTCACCACGTTAAGCTGTGTCCAGGAATCCTGTTCAGGCCTTTCCGCCCGTCCAGCTTCTTCTGACTCCGTTCTCCGTCGTAGATCGCGTCCCAGGGACTCCTAAACCGTAAGTCAGACCTTCCTGTCACGCCAGGACTGGTTCCCACGGCGTACGGTACAGCACGGGTCCTCGCTTTACGGCTTTTCCCTGGTTATGACACGAATGTTTCAAGCCATTCGCGGGCTTTTCATTCGTACGGTCATTCGGCTGAACATGTTTTAAATCGTTCAATAGTCATTTCGCATATCCTATTCATGTTATTTAAACGAATGTTCATTCGGTTGTTTTGCCGTTCGGCAAATTTTACATACGCTCATACACGCTTTGGTTCGCATAAATCATACGGTTAAACTATTCTAACTTCTGTGTTCCCCTCACATTTGCTTTCGGCTGTTCTGTGTGTTCACGTATAATCCTTTCATGAATTATATTCACCATTTCATGTGTATATAACATTCGGTTAAAGTATTGCTTGCTTAAATAGATTATTGTTGATTACTTTTAACAATTGTCAGTATTGTATTACGTCCACAAATCAAGTCCACTTCTCTGTGTATACCATTTGACTCCCACGCTTTCAGGGGTCTGCATTACTTATCCATTTATACGAATGGACTCAGCCTATGTTACAAGCCTCATTTCTGGGTTATTAATACAACATATACAAGGATAGGTTCATTTAAGCAATAATTCTCGGGTTGATACGTCTTTGCTATACATACATATCATATAGATATACATCACTTTACATCATGTTAAATTATTTTGGGGTATCCCTGCCTTTGGTCTTTCTGCTACATATCATACATAACGCTGTGTTAATTAGGCCATGACCTCATCCATGTCCCTTTCTATAAAACCAGTTACATTTCGGTACAGATCATTGAACTCCCACGCCAGGAGTTTTATAACTATCCATTTCATTTCAATTTACTCAACCTACATTACAGGCCTCATTTCTCTGTCATGACGATGACACATAAGGCTTAAATCCTTTTGCATGCATACTCGGGTTGAATCACACGTACTGATCCAACCAATCATACGTCCCCTACACAGTCATATACATATGTATATAACCTACGTTTCATGTTTTCCTTTACACACCATTATCACGTAACACATAGATTGTTTGTACATAGGCCACGGCCTCCCTCAGATGTCTTATTCAAGCATGCAAACATTTCTGAGCCACTCATAGCTATTCCCATGGTATCAACATAATTTTATACATTGCTGCTACAGACTATAAGTCTGGTTCTTTTACACTCCACACTCATCATACTACTCTCTTTTACCCATTTTTAGGCTGTCAAGCTTATATAATTGCTCCACACGGTTTATTCCTGTGATTTATCATACTACCAGGTACGTACACCTGCTCATATGGTATTCTACCATACATTTCATTTCATCCCCCTAGTTTAGAGTACTGGCAATAGGGTCACAGGATTCCCAATAGGTATTTACCCCATCTTGGCTGTCGCCATTAGTTAGTGGTCCCGCGAGGCCAACACCCCGCCTCAAACGTTTCGGAGGCAAACACCCATCGGGCCACACGTTAGCTAGCCGCCTCGCATGTTGCAAAGAGAGGGCCTCACCTGTCACTCCCTTCCCCTGTTTTCTGTCGTACAGTCACCGAGAGGCCTAAAACTCCTGCCACTACGTCAAGTGGCCTCAATAACCCCTCGCGCCAACGCATAGATAGAGCCTCTCAAGCCGCTTGGCAATTAGTAGGGCCTCACCTGTCACCAAACAAGCATAATACTTTCGCCATCCGGCCTAGCTAGCCTGCCAGTACAATTTGGTGGTTCTATATACTAATTATTGTTTTATTTATAGTATGTCTCAGGAAGGGGTAGAGGATTTCTCCCTGCCTAGCACCCCGGCTAGAGCTGTCACTCCCACACAAGGAGGAGAGCTAGCTAGTCCAGCATCAATTAGATCCTGGACAATCCCGCGCATAACCACGGAATTAAGGAGACGACAAATCCCCTACCCCGCTACAGCAAGGAAGGCAGAACTTTTCAAACTGCTACGCACATCAACCAATAACATGGAAGCCGGGGAAGGATCTAGCCAGTCCAACCCAGGGGACATACATGCCATGTTATCCTCACTCATGGCATCCATGGGCAAGGTCAACTCCAGGCTGGAGAAACTTGAGTCGGTCACCACGGCCCTCACTCTAGCAGGGCCACCCGCGGCTGCGGTACAAACACCAGCCTTGCCATTAGTCGCTCCAGCCAGCCCCCTGGATGACCAGGAAGTTAGCCCGGCCCACATGATACCTGAGCATATCAAAAGGGATATCCTGGAAGGTAAAGACGTCAACCTGGCTTCCCTGTTGATTGCCTCCCAGGACATTGTGGAACATAAGACGTATGCTTATGATGATGTTTCTGTTATTGTCAGATCTAGGGATGCCCGCCTGAACAGGAAACTGACTATCCCTGAATTTGTACTAGCGTTTGGTATTTACAGGGATGTCGTCTGTGCGGTTTATCCCAACAGAAGAGAGGAGTTTGATCTCTATATGCACAAGCTGGTAGACCTGGGCAACAAATATGGTGGTTCAGCATTCTATGACTACCATAGGTCTTTTTCTGCAAAAGTGGCTGGAGCCTTCTCCCAGTACGGTACACGATCCAACTGGGGAAGGATTGATACCGTCTTATTCTGCAGACACTTTGCAGGTCTAAGAACACCAGCTTGTGCATACTGCTCCTCCACAGCCCATACTACTAATTTTTGTCCCAACACGGCAGACGGACATGCCTCCACACAAGGAACTAGTTCCTCTGGGGATCCAGGGAAACTATCCAAAGACAAATTGGGACGCCCAATCAAGTTTCTGGGCAAGTCCCAGATATGTAATAATTTCAATGTTGGGTCTTGTAATTACAGTGGATGTAGACTATTGCATGTCTGTTCAAAATGTTTTAGGGCACATGCTAAGACCATGTGTCCAAATAAAATGTATTCTAAGCCTTACCTTACGTCCATTAATATGCCAGTATTCACAGCATTGATGTTTCTTATTTCTGGTTTAACAGAAGGCTTCCACACAGGTATCCTACACATACCAGCTGGCACTCTGGAATGCCCAAACCTACAATCCGCCCAACACAACCCCACAGTGGTTGACACCCTCATAAACCAAGAAGTGGAGGAGGGCTTTGTATTGGGGCCTTTTAGAACTCCCCCATTCACAGAATGGCGCACCAACCCTATTGGTATTGTCACAGGGAAATCTTCCCAAAAACAGAGACTCATCATTGACTTATCGGCTCCCCACTCATCGGCCAACCCCAGTCTTAATTCCCTCATACCCTCTGAGGAATTCTCTCTGCAATACACCACCATAGATCACGCCATTACAGCCATCATACAAGCAGGGGTGGGAGCCTGGCTCAGTAAGACCGACATTACTAACGCCTTCAAATTACTCCCTATCCACCCCACACTGTGGCACCTGCATGGCATCAAGTGGTCCGAGAACTACTATTTTTTCTCCCGGTTAACTTTTGGGTCCAAAAGTAGCCCAGCTATTTTCGACACATTTGCCGAAGCACTATGCTGGTTACTATTGAACATAGCCGGATGCCCTACAGTATTACATTACTTGGACGATTTCCTACTGGTCGAGGAGAATACTGCACCTCCCACTAGCCTCAAAGCTACCACTAAGCTGTTTGAGCAACTAGGTGTACCCATCTCCCCAAAGAAAACAGAAGGGCCAGACACGGTTATCACTTTTCTGGGTATCCAGTTAGACTCTGCCACAATGCAAGCAAGCCTACCTTACGAAAAGATAGACAATATTCTCACTTACATAAACAACTACCTACAGCTCGGCACTTGCAACCGCAAAGAACTACAGTCCCTGCTGGGGTCACTAAATTTTGCAATGCGCATCATACCTCAAGGCCGCTCCTTTATTTCACGACTATTGCATCTTTTCCCACTTTTTCTACATGACACGCACAGGTTGTCCTTAGATGCCCAAGCTATGGCAGATCTAAACATGTGGAAGAGGTTTTTAACCACTTGGAATGGTAAAAGTATGTTCCTCCCTCAATTGACTGAATCATCTCCTACCATTTGGTCAGATGCGGCATCTACCACTGGTTTTGCAGCAATTTTTGGGAACGAATGGCTTTGGGGCAGCTGGCCTTCAGCAGTTCTGGATTTGGAAGGTTTTTACACTACCTCAGCTCTTTTTGAGATCTACCCCATAGTGGCGGCTGCCGTAGCGTGGGGTCATTTATGGGCTAATACGCCAGTGCGTTGTTACTCAGACAACCAGGCGACCTGTCACATCATCAACAAAGGTCGTTCCAAATCTCTTACGATTATGAGATTTCTGAGGAAACTCACTTGGTTGGCAGCTTGTCATAATTTCTTCCTATGTTGTTTCCATGTGCCAGGTGTATACAACACAGCTGCTGACAGTTTGTCTCGCTTTAAATTTCAGGAGTTTCATCAAGCACTCCCGTCAGCAGCACCCACAGCCACCATCACTCCAACATTTCAACAACTCATACTGGACTAGACGTCATCATGCAGCATAGCAGGACATTGTCTCAGTTGGCACTTTCACACAATACAAACAAAACATACAACAGGGCTTTCACACTATTCAAACGATTCCTTCTGGAACATAACATCATACAACCGTTTGTTATGACATCTTTTTGGGGTTTGCTTCCTTTTGCCACCTTAAACTCAAATTGTCATATAACACCATCAAACTCTATCTCACTGGCATTCAACACCACATGCTCATCTTACACCCAAATAACAACAGTTTCATGGCCTCTCACCAAATTAAGACCATACTCAGAGGTATTCAAAAAATCAGAACCCACACATTTGGCCCAGAGGCTACCCATAGATAACCATATCTTCAAAGCTTTATCTAACCTACTCGACCTGAAACCGTTTGACACTAATACGAATTCTATCATCAAAACAGCAATATACATCGCTTTCTATGGATTTCTACGACCCAGAGAATTCACTACGACCTCCACGACCCAAACCACTCCATTCCTCCTCTATTCCCACTTGACAAAACATATGGATCATTACATCCTGTCTTTACCTCACTCCAAAACCAGCCAGCACATACCTGTAAACATTCCGTACTACCCCACGCACAACAGATGGTGTCCCGTAAAAGTTCTTGATGCCTACATACAGCACCATCACTTACTGCCCTCGCAACCGTTATTACAACTACAAGGTGCAGTACTCACCACTACAACCTTCATGACCTACGTCAGGTCCTTGCTCACACAACTGGGCCTCAACGCAAACAATTACTCAGGACACTCCTTTCGTATAGGAGCCGCGTCCACAGCCTCCAGTTTCAACGTCCCAACTCATGTTATCAAAACACTGGGGCGCTGGAAGTCATCCGCTTACTCACGGTACATACCGAACCCAGTACAAGAGTTAAGAGATGCTTTCATAAACATGTCTGGTTGATAAATGTATATGTATTGGTTGTCTGTTAATAAATTGGATTACTTAATTTTTGCCCTCTTCTTTCTCAGGCCTACCTCATCGTCGGTTTCGGCACACCACAACCGACTTGCTCCTTTTATCATCCTACGCTTATTCATGGTATTTCACACTGTACTATCTTAAGCACCTAACACAAGTATTAAGGCAATTTGCCTGCATTTGTGGGAGGTGCTGGTTTTCTACCCCTAGCCTACTTAAGGCACTCCCCTTGCCTGGCTCCTTACCGTTCGAGGTCAGCGTTGAATGACCCTCCCACCACACCACTTTTAACATTTATTTTCCTTTCTATTTCTTTTCCTGGGTGGGCCCTCTTCTTTCTCAGGCCTACCTCATCGTCGGTTTCGGCACACCACAACCTACTTGCTCCTTTTATCATCCTACGCTTATTCATGGTATTTCACACTGTACTATCTTAAGCACCTAACACAAATATATATATATATATATATATATATATATACATACAATATATATATATATATATATATATATATATATATATATATATATATATATATATATATATATATATATATTGGATGCACTCTCTGGTCTTCCAAAGTTATAAAGTTATTTATTCCATCAAACGGTATGTAATAAAGTGATCGACGTTTCAACCCATTTGGGTCTTCCTCAAGATGTGTGTGTATATATGTGTATATATATATATATATATAGCTTCCCGGGTGGCATTTGCTAGTTTACCACCTTTCTTACGCAACACAATATAAAAAAAAAAAAACGATATTTGGGAATTAGCTAAGCATCTATAAAGGAAAAAAATAAACCTAACATAGTGTAATATAGTTAGATACAATAAGACCTGTGCTTCTTAAAATGCACTCACAGTGTGTATGAGAGAACTGCGCCCTGGGGTGCCTCCCCTGTTAAAAGCTTTGGGCTATCAAATGAATCTAATTCAAGCACGGAGATAAATATCCCAGCTTTCTGATTTATTGCAGACTTCATCTGCAGCAGGAGAAACCAAAAGAAGGTGATGGCCCCCCAACCTTTACCAGGGGAAGCACACCAAGGCACAGTTTCTCATACACACTATGAGTGCATTTAAAGACGTGCATGTCTTATTGTATCTAACTATATTACACTATGTTTGGTTTATTTTTTCCTTTATAGATGCTTAGCTGATTCCCAAATATTTTTTTTATATTGTATAATATAGCTGTGTGATCACAATGTCAGCATCTTACCTTGGCTGAGAGGCCTCCACGGAGATAACATGGACCGAATGTCATACAATTTCAGTACCTGGCTCACCAAACAATGCATTGGGAGTAGGATTGTCATTAACCCTTTAACCTCTTATTTTTGTGTGTCTGTTTATTTCCCTGTCATAGAACACGGTAGGACTCTTGGACTCTAAATCCTTTTAAAATTATGGAAGCAATAGCATAGCAGTAGTAATGTAATGGATTATTAATGTGGTGAATAGCAAACATCAATCTGACGATTAAGCAAAGGAAGATGTAAAACACATTCAAAAAAGAAAATGACTTCCATTGTTTAAGTGTTATGCAAAAGTAAATATATATATTCTGTAAGGATTTGTAATAAATGGCACTCAAAACGTCTTAATAATGAATTCAATAATGAATTCACACTTATTTCATTTTTTCCCTTTTGATATTGTAAATCTCCATATGATTGTATCAGCATTTTGGTACACTTTCTTTTCAGCTCTTTTTAGGAATTTTTGCTTAAAATAAATTGTGAATATAAGATTATATAGGTGTCAAATGATACATTTTCCCTGCGTACAGCGGCAGTACAGTAGGGATATTCTTGATCATATGGACAGGTAGATTCCTTACAAATAGTTTGAAAGATTAGCAGTCTCACTCCTTTTGCAGGGCATATGTACCTGACCTTCCAGAATTTTGGACGGTTGTATTGACTCTCCTTAGCAGATAATGCTGTAGTGGGGTAGGCATGGGATGCTGATTGTTTCTATCCATCATTTTAAGCCACTAGGGAGGGTAGCTATGCCTTGCTCTTTTATTTTATTTATATAAACAAGCAGGAAGAAACAAAAGTCAATAGACTTATATGCAACAATTTTCCTCTGGGCAGAAAAACAATTATCGGTTCTCTCAGCTACCTCTGAGATGTAGACGACCTGAGCAGACAACATTGGAACCATACAGCCTAAACATTCTCATGTTCACTAAAACAGATTATGTACTTTAGTAATAGATTTGAAGGCCACTAGGAGCAACAGAAAAGTTCCAAGCTTCGCATTACTCTCCAAACAGGAAAACTCAGACTCCCTTGATGTATTCTTAGTGCAAAGAATTTCCAGCTAGAATACATTTTTACCCCCATTAGCAGTATTACTGAGTGTTGCAGAAGATCCATGTAATTTGCCTCTGTTGTTGCGATACCATGTTGGTCCAACTGCAGCTGGTTCTCACACCTACTCCAGGTGACAAAGGCAGTAAATTCCAATATCAGGAAGCACATTGGAGAACAAGAGTGTGCCTATAAAAACTCTAAAAACTTTTAAACCCCAGGCCTAGTGGTTGCAATGATGATTCTACTAAGCAAAATAAGGTTGTAAAATTTACATAGAAACCTACAAGAAATTCCACTTTAAGAATCAATTTGCACATTTGGAATAAGTTCCTTAGCTGGTGTAATAAACATCTGGATGCTATGAATCTTCCAATTCCACTAATTGCAGAATTTATTCAAGAAGGCTTTTCTCAAGGGCTCTGTTCATCCATACTGAAAGTGCAAGTGTACGCCCTTAGCTACTTTCTTATGCAGGATTTAACTTCCGGATACTTAATTAGAAGATTCTTTAAGCCTAACTTGCAACTTTGTCCTCTCAAGATTTCTCTTTTCCTACATGGGGCTTATCATTGGTTTTATACGGGATAGACCATTTGAGCCACTCTAAAACTGTTCTATGAAAAATTTGACACCCAAAACAATATTTTTAGTTGCAAATACTTCAGCTAGTAGAGTAAAAAGAATATACTTTCAGCAGCTCTGGAATTTTACCGTCTTTTAGTAAGACAAAGTGGTGTTAGTTCCCAGACCTTCCTTTTGCCCTTAGGTTTTGAACAAAATCAACATGGATCTGGATATCAACTTTCTATCAGAACCCTTCTTTACCTAAGAGAATGTTTTCACCATCTGGATGTCAAGCGTGCCTTAACCATCCATCCTATCTAACCCGATCAAAAGAATAGAGAAAGGCTTCTAAGTCTTCTGTAACTAGATGGATTACAAAAGCTATTTAGATTTCCTACAATCCTCAAGCAGTTATTCTTCCTGATAAAGTTAAAGCTCATTCCACTAGGGCTGGGCAGAAAAAAAAAAAACTTTGTGTACTCTAAAGGACATCTGCAAATCAATTACATGGTCTTGTCCTCATTTAATACTTTCATCACATGCTAATGGCCAGACATCTCTACAAACAGCAGTGGCTTGAAATATCCACCCTTCACAGGAGTGCTTGAAATCTCCCTACTGTACTGCTGCTGTATGCAAGGAAAAAATCTACTCACCATAAATTCTTTTATTTTCTTAGTATCCGCAGCAGAACATGTATTCCAACCTTTTAGATTTTTATACTTTGACATAAGATTGAGTTGGTTTATTTATTTATTTATTTTATTTTATTACTGTGGTATGACTGGCATCCTATGGACTGTCAGACAGCCTGCAAAGGATGTCGGACTGCTAATATTTCAAACTTTCTTCAAGGAGGCTACCTGTCCATATAATCAAGAATATCACTATTGTCCTACTGATGATATCAAGGAAAAAACATTTTCTGGTCAGTATCAATAAAGTGTAAAAGTGCAGCCTAAAAGTCAGTTCCTCTTCAGATAGTTCCAAAACAAACATGAAATAAAACAAAATATTGTCTTTGTCGCAAAAAAATGTTTTTTCTGTAATTCTGTTATGAGAAAAAATACACATTTGTGTTTGTACAACTTAAGTCTACTAAATTTTTAAAGGGTTGCTTTAGTTGTTATGATGCCAGAAGTAGCCAAGCCCAATTTCCCGGTAATGTGGCAAATCATTTTGCCAAGATTTGTCCTCTTACCTGGTCCTGCTGGGCACCTGGTATACTTTAGTTCTGACTGTGATGTACATCCAGATACTGAGCTTGCTGGCCATTTATTATCTGAGAATGTCAGTTGAACAGTCAGCCAATGAAGGCAATTCTGTGCATGTGTACTAGAAATTAAATGCTACTGCCCACTTGCCTTTTGAGTTCTGCAGCCATAATAGACAGAGGGGCTGTTGAAGGGGCAAAAGTAACAGACCAGGGGCTGGGAGGAACCAAAAACACAGTGTCTGGGGAAGGGGCAAACGAGACAAAGGCTTTAACTTAACCCATTAGAGTTTAATAGTGTCGAATAAACTTACACTAAAACCAAAACAATTCAGATGGCTGACATACGACTAAAATCAAAATGGCTTTTTAGTTAAAAGAATATGACTAAAACTACATTGAAATTTGCTGCCAAAATTAACACTGCATAATACTATGTTTTCAGCCACCAAAACATCTAATTTGAAATGAATTCTTGTTCAGGCCATACTATACCACTACTTTTTTTTTTTTTATTCATCTGTTTGATCAAGAATACTGTAGCTTGTTCGGCTCCACATACAAAAGTTGATTTATTTCAGGAATTATTATATGTTGAGATTAGAAAGAAATTTTGAATTTATGATAAAAAATAAAGGTCTTCTCTCCTCTTTAATTCTGGAAAAGAAATCAACATTTTCAGAATTTTTTTTTTTTTTTTAAATGCAAAGCATTTTCTCTTGCAAATGGAAAGCAGTTTTGTTACACTGGGAACATAAAATGTAGTGCGTATAAAAGTATTGTGCTTGAAATAAAAACAGTTTATTCTAACATATTAAGCTAAATTCACTTTTTAAAACTATTTTTTTGTTACAGTGGAACGTCAAGGTCCAGAGAGAGAGCGCACTCTTTTACATTAGAGACACTCTACTCTACACTACAGCACTTAAGCTTGCTCAAGTGCATTAGGGATATTTAGGAGGTTCCCCTTAGTCCTGTTTTATTACTTTTTTTTTCACGAGAAGGAACTTTAATAGAATTGGATCTTAGTAAGAGAGAACAACAGGAATGCATATAGGGAATGCTTCACTATGAGAAGAATCTGATTGGACGAAAAATTGCTATCACCCAGTCAGATTTGCAGCAATTGCTGGCGGACGGTTTGCATTAAAGATAACACAGGAATGTAGGAGTCAAGTAATTGTTAAGAAAAATGTTATGAAAATCAACCAATGCCGTTAAAATATAATTGTTTTCCATATACTTGTTTGTTAAGGTATAACTGAGAGGATGAACAATTCAATTACCTATTCCAACAATATGGAAACCACAAGCAAAATAAACTGAAATCTTTTTCTCTGTAACACCCCTGTGACTGAAATGCATATTTATCTTTTCATTTAAGAATTGCATCATCAGTAATTTCTTACAGGGTTATTAACTAAAGTTAGAATTAAAAATGAATTTCAAATTTAAACTCAAAGTAGCTGAACAATAAGCATAGCTGACTTAGAGAATGTTTCTCGTTTGGCTATTTTTACCTTGAATTTAAAATTCACTTTGAATTTTTTTTTTTATTTTTTTTTTTTATATAATTCTTTATTTTTGTTGTGCCTTGCAAGTACAACAGGTAAGAGAAGACAAGTCAACGAATAGCATCAAAAAGTGTCAAAATTTCTCCATACATTGCAAAGATTACTGCACAATTTTTATATATATTCGAAGAGTACATGCTGCTTCCAGAACTGAATATCAGATAACGTATAGCATGGAGTAAGTTGGTACCTAAAGTAAAATAAAAGTTATGATTACAATAGATATTCATTTATTATGTCATATTTCCTAGCGTATTGACTTAAATCCTGTGTCTGCATAAAAATGAGAAAATAAGTAAAATGGAAATGATAACAGAGATCAGCCACTGGGAGTGTATATAGGTTGCCAGTGTTAGTTAAACTGTTAGGTGCGACACTACTTGCACACTGGTGTTATATAAGTGGAGCTTATTCGGCTCGCCAGTATTGGCATAGAGCTGGGCTAAGCGTTTTGTGTTTGCATGCATTGATAACGTTATACCACTGGGTTATGGGCCTAGCGCATCTGATCAAGACCAAACTATAAGTAACCAAATATACAAAGCTTAGCTATTACTTCCTCATAGAGTACCATGTTAATTTGCATAGGCTATGCTTATGTGGGTAGCTAAGGAAACACACAGTTATTAAAGCTTTGCTAAGTTTTATGCGATTAGGCTTAGGCCTGACGTGACATTAGCACAACTAACACTAGTTTTGGTTGAGAGTATAGTGACAAGCTTCCTAGCACTGCAGTACACTTCGTGTTCTAAATTATAACTTTTTTTTTATTGTGACTTACATAGAGTACAGCAGGATGAAATGCATGGCATAGAAACATTTTGTACACATGTTAGTTAGGAAGTGGCAACAACTGTGGCAGTTTTCTGCCGTTAATTACATGGAAACGTTTTTCGTTCAGGTAAAGACCGTTCAACTGGCGTATGCCGAGTGCCAATGGTTTGGTATGACATATAGTAATCATAGATCAGTACCCCTGATTGTCTTGGCTTAGTGTAAGTTATTCAGTGTTAGCCAGGGTTGTTTTGTAGGTATCGTACCCATGGGTCCCATATAGATGGATATGTGTGATATTGGTGTGTGAGGGAACATGTCTCTTCAAGGTTTCTAATGGTTTCAACTTTTTGTATCCACTCCCGTGTGGTGGGAGTTTGAGTCTGTTTCCACAGGGCCGGGATAAGTTGGTTCGCTGCTGTGATGAGGTGGATTAGGAGTGTTTTTTTCGTGTTTTTGCATTCCTGAAGGTGGGAGTAGAAATAGATATGTGTCTGGGTGTATCGGAATACTTTTCCAGAGAATCTGATAGATTACCCCTGAGATTCGCATCCAGTATTTGCGAATCTCTGGGCATGTCCACCATATGTGTGTAGTTGTACTATTCGGTTGCTGGCATCTCCAGCATCTATCTGCTGTTGTGGGGAAGAGATGGTGTAGTTTCGATGGTGTGTAATGCCATCTGGCTATCCTTTTATAATTGCTTTCCTGAGCTATAGTGTTTCTGGAAGTTTTATGTATTTGTCTGAAGATCTTTTTCCATTTGCTTCTGGATATTTCCAGCTTTAATTCCCTTTCCCATGTTGTGGTGAATGTTGGTAATTGGTGAGTGTGTATTGTTTGGATTGTATTGTACATTAGTGATATGCATTTCGTTTTTATATCCTGGTTTGAGCAGTGCTTTTCAAATGTGGTTTGTGTTCTGTTTGTCCCCTGCGTTAGATGTCCTGAATGTATGAAGTGTGTTAGTTAGTTGTATTGGAGTTTTTGTATCGCGTTTGGTGATTCAATGAAGCTCTGTAGTGGTTTGACCCGTTGTTCCCCAGTCTCGTCTAGTAGGTCTCCCAGTGAAAGGTACGCTTTTGTTTGGAAGAGTTTCAGCGCCTTACCGTCTGCCCCAGGTTGGAAGAGCGGGTTATGTGAGATCGGGTAGAGTGGGGATGGGTGAGGTGATATTTGTGTACTTGGTTTGATGGTTGCCCAGGTCCGCAGGGTGGGGGTTATTGTTGGGTGTGGTCCTTTTATTAGCAGTGTTTGACCTGTTTTGTGCCATGGGATCGTGTATATTGGTGCTCTGAAGAACATGTTCTCGATGGTCACCCATTGTTTTGTGTGGTGGGTACATGACCAATCATATATTCTAGTTACGTGAACTGCTTTATAATATCTGTCTATATCAGATAGACTAAGGCCTCCCTCTTCCTTCGGTTTTGTGAGGAGTGCGTAAGCTAGTCGGGGGCTCTTGTGGGACCAGATGAAGGCCGTGAATATTTTGCGTACCGCGTTGAACCATGTCCTTGGTATTGTTATGGGAAGTACTTGTAGCATATATAAGATCCTGGGGAGGACGTTCATTTTAAGGATGTTTAGTCTGCAGAACCACCCAAATTGAGGTTTATTCCAGGCTGTAAGGTCCGAGTTAATGGTTTTTAGTAGGTTTGGGAAGTTGCTATCGAATAGGTGTGACGTTTCTCTGGTGATGTGTATCCGTAATATTTTATGTTGTGTGGGGCCCACGTAAATGGGTAATCCCGTTTCAATGTGGTTGTGATGTGTGGCCGTAGGTGGATTGGGAGGATTTCACATTTACTGAGGTTTGCTTTGAAGTTGGATATTTTACTATAGGTATCCATTTCTTCCATTAGGTGTGGAAGTGAGGCCAGTGGGTTCGAGATTGAGAAAAGCATATCGTCCGCGAATGCGGCTATTTTGTGTTCGTGTTTTCCCACCTGTATGCCTTTGATGTTGGCGTTGTCTCGGATTCCTTGAAGGAATGGCTCTAGGATAATGACAAAGAGGAGAGGGGAGAGCGGGCATCCCTGCCTCGTGCCGTTTGAGATTTGTAAGCGCTCCGAGATTTGGCCGTTAATTCTAATGTTGGCCGTGGGGTTGGAGTATAATGCTTTTATCCATTTTTGCCAATTAGGTCCGAATCCTAGTGAGTGGAGTGTGTGTGTCATTAAGGACCAGTCTACTCTGTCGAAGGCTTTCTCAGCGTCTATGGACAGGAGTAGACTGGAGTCTTTTGTTCGTGTGGCTTGATGCACCAGGTTTATGATTTTTGTGGTATTATTTTTTGCTTCTCTACCGGGTATAAAGCCCGATTGGTCTTCGTGTATGATCCCCGGCAGGTGGGGGCGAAGCCTGTTGGCCAGGATTTTTGTAAAGAGTTTGAGATCTACATTTATCAAAGAAATCGGCCTATAGCTACCGCACTGAGAAGGGTCTTTGCCTGGTTTCGGGATAAGCGTGATTGTGGCGTTGAGTGCCTGTGAGGGGAGTGTATTCCCTTGGAGGAGAGAGTTGAATGATTTTATGAAATGTGGGGTGAGGGTTGCGGCGTAGGTCTTATAATATTTTGTTGTGAACCCGTCTGGACCTGGGCTTTTCCCGATTGGGAGGTTTTTGATAGCGTGAGTACATTCTTCTACCGTGATTGGGTGTTCCAGTGTTTGCGCTCAGGTTGTTTGGTAGTGTGGTGCGTATTCTTTTTGTGAGGAAGCTTTGGATGTCGTGAGCTGGTGTGGGAGTTTGTCTTAGGTTGTATAGGGAATGGTAGTATTCTTGGAAGGCTGTGGTTATGTCCGTGACTAGGTGAGAGATGTTCCCTTTACTATTCCTTATGGAGGGTATGAAGGTGTTTTCTCTTTGCTTTTTAAGTGCCTTGGCCAGCAAGCGCCCGCTCTTCCCTCCCTGTGTGTAGTATAGGCTTCGTGTTTTTGCTAAAGCATACTTTGTGTGTATGTTTAAGATTGTGTTGAGTTCTGTTCGTTTCTCTAAGAGTTGTTTGTAATTTGTCAGTGATTCGTCTTGGGTGTGTACTTCTTCTAGTTCCCTAATTTCTTTGGTTAGTAGTGCAACTTGTGCCTCACGTTGTTTTTTGTGTCGGGACGCTATTTGTATGATCGTTCCTCTGATGGAGCTTTTGTGGGCTTCCCATATGATTGGGTACGGTGTGTCTGCCTTGGTGTTTGTTTCGAAGTAATGATGTAGGTTTTCTTCGATTTGGGTTTGTATTGTTTGGTTGTTTAGTAGATTGTCGTTTAATTTCCATTGTGTTCTAGTGGGGTGTAGAGTGGGGATTGTGATTGTCATTGATAGTGGGGCATTGTCTGACCATGTTATTGGGGCATATTCACAAGTTTTGATAAGGTTCAGAAATCTATGTGGGGTAAATATCATGTCTATTCTGGAATATGTTTTTGATTAGTGTGAGTAGAATGAGTAACTTCTGCTGTTGGGGTGTATGACTCGCCAGGCGTCGTAGAGTTGGTGTGTGTCTAACAGTTTTTGTATCTGGTTCCTTGTTGAAGCCTGATATGTTTGGGCTTGAGAGGTGGTGTCAAGTCTCCCATCTATTGAAACATTGAAGTCTTCTCCCAGAATTAGTAGCCCTTCTGTGAATTTTTCAAGCCTGTGGAGTATTTTGCGTAGGGGAGTCTTTCCTGTTGGGGAGGTAGATATTAGCGAGGGTTGTGATAGTGTTCCCTATTTGGCCTTTTAGAAAGACGAACCTGCCTCCCTCATCTGAGTAGTGATCTTTATATGTAAAGGGTAGGTGTGAGGCGAGAAGAATCGCCACCCCTCTCGATTTTGAGCCTCCATAGTTGCTAAAGAATCCTTTGGTATAGAATTTTGATCTAAGTGTGGGGGCTGTGTCTTTACGGAAGTGTGTTTCTTGTATATATATTATATCTGTTTTCTGCCTGTGATAGTCTGTGAGTGCCTTATGGCGTTTCTCGGGTGTATTGAGGCCTTTGGCGTTGTGTGTTAAAATTGTTATGGTTGCCATGGTTGTGTTGGGGTGTATGTTACACTGTGGGATAAGTGTGGTCTTGGTGAGGGTTTATGGTGTTCTCGTGCAATCCGTTCCTGTTCTGTGTTGTGTATTCTTGTTCGACCCTTGGTTCAGCCAGTTTACACAAATCGTATACAATATATAGCAATGCACGGGTTATTCTCAGCAAACAGCGGTTACAACAATACTTATTAAAACAATTGCAATGAAAACAGTAATATTAATAGGTGAGCAGTTAGACCGTTGGTGGTTCCCTACTGGTAGTCGTATATGTTGTCGGTCAACTATGTACAGTGGTTAGATACCGATATGTATGTGCTAAAGAGAGATGTCTGAGTTCGGAGGGATGTCCCTCGTTGGTAGCGATAGTCTACTGGTGTCTGCCCCTGAGATGTCCCAGTATCTACAGTGGGCTATGGTATAATGACACCGTGTTAGGGTTGGCGTGTAGGTGTCTGTCTTTGTGTGTAATGGCTAGTTTGATAGTGTTTTGATTATTACAGTCTGTGATGTGGCGGTGTTGTCAGTTAGTTTCAAGGGGAGAGCTTACGGATGAGACCGCGTATTTAGTTTACAATTTTATAGGAGGATTATTTTTTTTTTTTTTGGGGGGGGGGTTGGTTTGGATATAGTGATGGTTTGGGGTGGTTGGAGGGATCTATGTGTTTTGTTTTGTATTTCTAGGTGGTTTGTAGTGATTTTTTTTTGATTTTTTTTATTCGTTTTGTGTGGACGCTTCTGTGTGACCGATGGTGGTTATGTGGCAGGTTGTGTTAGCTTTCCATGTGCCCATTTAGGGTGGGCCCAATGGCTTCAGGGTAGTTGTTGGATTTCAGATTGTGTGAGTTTCGTGTAGTGTGTGCCTAGTTCTTTTGCCTATCAGGCGACTCTGCTCTAATGTGTGTGGGTCATGTGTGTTTCCGTTCAGTGTTGTTTATGTGTGGTCGGGTCTATGACCTCTCCTCGTGATAGTGTTGTCACCGTCCGGTTGTCTGTAATAGTATCTTAGAGTGAGCAGCATTAAGTGTGTCTTTTGAATATACATAAAAACCGTAACAAAGTATGCATACGACCTGTACGTGGGATCATCCTTATTTTATTTTATTTTTTTCTGTCCTATGTCTTGCATTGTTCTTTAGCTTAAATGTCCAGGTCTGTTCGCGTTAGCGTTGCTAGTCACTCTATCTGTCCCAGTGGACGTATATCCCTTGGTATTTTTCTTCTTTATCTTTTTCTTGCTTCTTCGGTCGTCTCGTTCAGTTGCGTCAATCTTTGTTTTGTTGTTTCCATCTGGTGTTGTCTTTGATAAGTTCTTTATCTGTCCGTGGGTCCTCTGGTTTGCCTGTCATCCCTCTGGGGCATGCTGTTCTGTCCTCCTCTTTGTCTCTTCGAAGGTGTATGCCAGTTTTGACCAGGTACTCGGGTATCTAGCAAGGCTGTTGGGTCGGGGGCATACCAGTTTGCAATGTTGACCTCTGTCAGGTTGAGGGATTCAATAAAGGGGGCGACGTCTTGGTAAGTGGATATTGTGTAAGTTGAGCCTTGCATGCACACTATAAGGGCGAAAGGGAAGCCCCACCTGTATCGTATGTTTCGTGCTCTAAGTTGGTCTGTAATCGGCCTCAGCGCCCGTCTTGCCTGGAGGGTGTGCCAAGATAGGTCCGGGTAAATCTGGATTTCGTGTCCCTGGTATAGAAGGGGGGAGGAAGTGTCTCTTAGTGCCCGTAAGATGTCTTCTTTTAGGGAAAAGTAGTGTATGCGGCATATTACGTCGCGTGGGTTTTCACTTGAGCCATTTTTGGGTCGCAGAGACCTATGTGCTCTGTCCAGTAGCACTGAGGAGTCTGGAGGGCGATTTAGTATAAGATTAAATAGGGTGGTTAGCTGGTCTTTTACATTTTCTCTGTCTGCTTCTGGTAACCCCCTGATGCGCAGGTTATTCCTCCTACCCCTGTTATCAATATCGTCGAGTCCTCTCTGGAGCATGGTTAGGTGTCTCTCTTGTATGGTAAGTGCATGGGTGAGGTCTTGTATTTGAGTGTGACATATGCCCCTGTCATCTTCCAAGTCTTGCACCCGTCTGCCTATCTGCCTTATTTCAGAGCTCAAGCCCTCCATTTTGAGTTGAAAGGTTGTTTCTAGCTTACCTAGCATTTGTGCTAGATCCATTCTGGACGGTAGGTTTTTTAGTATGCCCTTTATGTCCACGTCTACAGAGGCTGATGAGGCTTCTGATCGTGCAGGACTCAGCGGTTCTGAGTCTATATGGAGCGCCACCGGCGCCATGATGGAGTCTCCCACGTCTGCCACGCGGTCTGTGTACTCCTTGAAGAGGCGGGTAACCGAGCCCGGTTTACCCGCTGGCTGTTTCCCCTGTGGCTGGTGAGGGGTTTGTTGTCTCTTGTTGTTCCCCATTTTGTTTAAAATCCTCCGTTTAGTCGCGGTCTCTGTCCGTTTTGCTCGGAGCTGGTTTAGTGTGCGGCCATTCGAGTCGGCTGCTAGCCACGCCCCCCTAAATTATAACTTTAAACATTGAACATTCCGCAGCTGTGTGGGTGATATGTCCAGTGGTGGCATCGACCTGGGTTGAGGGGGGGCGTTAAGTAGAGTTAGCCCTTGTGAGAAGTGGGCTACAGGCCCCTAGTATTGGTAGAGTCAGCCATTGCCCTGGTTCGGAGGTGGCAGGGAGTTCAGTAATGTCACCAAGTCGGAGAGAAGAATCGAGTGGTAATGTCACTTGGGATGGGTCTCTTGTGAGTTGCAAGACACGTACCATGCTCTCGAGAGGCCAGGGGTAGGTGAGGGTGTCCTGGAGGGATGTAGTCGTCAAGGTTGTTGATCCGCGTTGGATCCCTTTGAGCCTTAGGTGGTCAGGAAGAGGGTAAGACTGCAGTGGGCCGTATTTGGGGAGGGGGGTCAATGTTAGCAATCCTTGGGTTTGTTGAGATTCTTCGGCGGGTTGGTCGGGCAGGTGTAGGGTACTGCGGGTGGTCTCGGCAACCTTATAATCATTGCCGTAACTGGCGGGCGTGTGTTGCTAGGATTGGCGCGTGGGCCCTATGGCTCCTCTTAGGTGGTGACCGAGGCGTATGTGACCGGTGTGTTGTTTCGTGGTACAAAAGGGGGGCAGTTCTCTGGGTCCTAGCTGTGAGCCGGGGTGGTGGGGGCTCGGTGGTCCGCTTGGAAGAGAGAGTCCCGCGGTAGGCCCAAGGCCTGTAGAAGATCCGCTACGTCCTGTGGGCCGTGGATTTGGTGAGTTGTTTCTCTCTGCTGCACGAGGAGTGTGTGAGCTGACCTCCAGCGGTAGAAGATTTTGTGCCTCTGGAGCATGGCAGTGAGGGGTCTGAGTGATCTACGCCACGCCAAAGTTCCTTTCGAGAGGTCATTATAGAATGTTAGCTTTGTATTCTCAAATTGTATAGGAGTGTTTCCCCGGGGGCGGTGATGATCGATGCTTTGTCTGCTCTATTTTTGAAGATAAGGATAGTGCCCCTTGTGGCCGCGTCTGGGGCCCTGGCAGGTTTCGGGTCACTTTGAATTTTTAATTCAAATTTTGCTAAATAACCATACTAGTATTTTAATTGTTTTCCAGGATTCACTTGTTTTCAGGGTATTTGAATTGCAATAATTTGAGGCCTCTAGTCAGGAACATCAAAAGCCACACATGTGGCATGGAAACTCAACCCATATGCCTCTTAAAATGGCTTCCTTCAAAATCTTTGGTTCTCCAGAAGTGTGGATTTTTAAGTACATCCCCCTATTCCTATTATTGTCTCTTCCTGGGCAGGACCATGAATTCATACTTTGTTGTCCATTCACTTTTAGTCATAGGGTTCACAATAATTACCTTTTTTTTGGATCCAACAATCATGATATTATTATTTTACTGAATCTCTGTGGGTAGAGCCGTTTAAAGAGATGGTGGTTGATGTCTTGAAACCCAGGCCCAAGACAAATCACAAGGGAGGGCAGATATCCTCGATGCACCACTTGAAAGTGTAATGTCATTTCCATGGATGCATTTTCTAAATTGATCAGCTCAAGGATTGCTACTCCCTAGATTCCCCAATAATCTACTGTCATTCTCCTGGACACCTCAGGCTTCTTAACTTGTGACATGGTCTTATAAAATGGCTCACTGCAAAGGAAAATACTTGACTGTCTCAGTAATTTATTTCTGTCTTTTGTGTGAAACATCAAATTATAGGCAATATATTCTCTGCTAAATACAAGGTTAGTCTTTTTATCTAATCTTGTAGGAAGTTGGGGAGTGTCTTAATAGGTATAGGTTGTTGAATAGGGCTAGTTTCCACTACTGTGGATTTTTTAGATTTGGACCACTGTTGTTTGCTGTTAATCTTGCTTAGGAAACTATGGGAGTTTGTTTGGGGGAATCCATTTGAGCATGATTTAGTTTAATTTAATTTCTTTATTTAGCTGAGGACAGCATTTTCACAAATACGGTTGTTATTTTTTCATATGGCAAATTAAGATTTTCTTAGTTAGAACAATGATCTATATACACACTGTCTTACACCTATAACTGCCTTGAACCTAAAAATATTTAACACCTCATTTTGAGGTAGCTGAAGAAGGGCATAGAAGCTCGAGCAAGGATAATTTTGCGGGAACTACAAACTCACGTAAATCCAGCTGACACGGGTACCATAGAAGAGCCATATACTATAATTGGTATCCCGAGCATTTCATTATAGGAGGGAGCTCTAATTGTGGGTTGAGACACTTATTTGGAACTAATCCGATGTACTTATACATATTCTTTATATCTGTCTCCATTTGTACCATCATCTATGTGGATAGTTTAACATGTAGATACTATCGACTTAAACATCAGCAGTTGGTCCTATTTTAATTTTATTACTATTTTTTCGTTCTGCACTATTATACTCACATTGTTTATTTCTATATATTTTGTTTCTTACCCATTTAATAAATTTATTAAATAAATTTAATAAAACTATAGTTCTTTTTTTTGCTGTCTTATCAAAAGGCATTATTTTGCCTACTATTGGCAGAGCAGCCTATATTAGGGTACTTGGACGGATATTGGGTGCGCTGTTTAGTTTACCCATTCCAGTCTTTCTTTTTTTGATTATTTTTGGGTTATGCCCGAAGTACCTTACAACCGTTTAAACTTTGGTGAAAGTTTTTCTTTCTCTCACTATCGTTGTATATTTTCTAGGTGTTGAATAGGCTGATGGGGTTGCATTTGAAAGAACTAGCATTTTTAACTATTGTCACATTAAACATTACTTTACACAAATGTTAGGTTATATAGGTTTTGTGGCAACAATTGCAATGCAATTATAATTCCAGACTGTTGCACTACAAAATCATGTTAACTGTTGCTTTTCTATTCCTCTGCATCCAGCACTAGTATACAAAATATTGCCCTTCTGTTTAGCTACCGTATATATTAGAGTATAAGTCGACCCGAATATAAGTCGAGACCCCAACGTTTACCTCAAAAAACTGGGAAAACTTACTGACTCGAGTATAAGACTAGGGTGAGAAATGCAGCAGCTACTGGTAAATTTCTAAATAAAATTAGATCCCCAAAAAATTATATTAATTGTATATTTATTTACAGTGTGTGTATATAATGAATGCAGTGTGTGTATATAATGCAGTGTGTGTGTGTGTGTGTGTTTGTGTATGAGTGCAGTGTGTGTGTGATGTAGAGACTTGGTGGGGGGGGGGCGTGGGCATTTTTAATTATTTTATTTTATTTTAATATTATTACATTTTTTATTTATTTACTTTTTTTTTTCATCCCCATCCCTGCTTGTTGCTGGCCAGGGAAGGGGGGCTCTCATTTCCTGGTGGTCCAGTGGTGTGCACTGTGTAGGAGGGGGGCTGGCAGCGAGCTGTAACTTACCTTTCCTGCAGCTCCTGTCATCTCCCTTCTCTCTCCTCCGGAGCTGACCGGACCGGAGGAGAGAGAAGGGAGCTGACAGGAGCTGCAGGAAAGGTAAGTTACAGCTCGCTGCCAGCCCCCAACAGGACCGCCAGGCTTGTAATGAGCCTGGCGGTCCTGGTCTGTATTATGGCAATGTAAGTTGCCATAATACAGACATTAACTCGAGTATAAGTAGAGTGGGGGTTTTGTGCTGAAAAACTCGACTTATACTCGAATATATACGGTATGTATTTTGCTGTGCTGCTTCACAGCTATGATATGCATATGCCTTTTACTAGGGACCTTATACATTATGCATCTTTTATAAACATCACACTAGTTGTTGGCTACATTTACATTATAAAATGAACCCTTGAGATGTTCTTCTTATTCTGCCAGTTTGCAAGTCAATCTACTTGGCTCTCTGATATCCTTAAATGCCCTCAACAGACAATGTTCTTAGGATAATTGCGTGACATAGTATGTGTAAAGTGAATTAACTGTTTAAATATATAAACATTAAAACTCAGAACATGAGACATGAGTTAACCTAAATTAAACAGATGTATTTCAAAAGTAAAATAATGGTGGTGTAGTTATTTTCTACTTTTACAATTCAAATTTGCATTGAATATCCAACTGTGCAGTGATTTCAAGCTTAAAATAGGTCAGTGTAAATGGATCGTCTAGTGAAATATACTCTTTTGTGGCTTGTTTTTATTTTTAATTTAAGAGTAATTATTATTTAAAGCAAACTTTAGTACAAATTAATAGAAACTATATCAACTATTAACTTCAGAATAATTTAATGCAGAGAAGACTATCTCTATACATCCTCTCTTCTAGAAGCATTTTTATAAACCTTAGCAACAATATTTGATAACTGCTGGAATGGTAATTCATCATCTTTGACCTTAAGGATGGTGTCTACATTGGCAGAGAAAACTGGTGGCAGAGTTATATATATATTAATGGAGTATTAATTTGAAGAAAACCGATTTTGGAATGTTTTTGCTGCATTTTTCACAGTTAACGGTTTACTGCTGTGAGGAATTTTAATAATTGAAAATATGCCGCCATATTATTCTACAATATTCCAGGTTGTTAATAAGGCAACTCAAATATTCAACATTGTGGCCCCATGATGCATATGCAGGATAACATTGTATCATCTTAGACAAACATGAAATATGAATCTCTCTCAAATGCCTATCTTCTCACTATTTCTTTTTCCTACCATCTTGCCTTATTTCTCCTCTGCACATAAATGTTTTCTTATTTTGCAATCTTACTTCACCCGCACTCTATACCACTCACTCACTTCCCCACTCTCTCTTTACCAGTTTTGCTCTTTCTATGTATGTGTTCTAATTGTCTCTCCCACATCATTTTTACCATGTTTACACACTGCCAACTATCTTTTACCCCTTATTTCTACCCATTTTTTCACTTAATAGCAATATGTTATTCTTGCTCTTTCATTTATAGTCTCCATTTTTTATTCCCACCCACCTTCTCCCTATCCCCAGTGCATAGTTAACTAATTTTGTTAGTTTATTTTTCCCTTTTCCCCCACTTAAAAAAAAATAAATATATATATATATATATATATATATAATAATAATAATTTACATATACTTCTGACTTCTGGTTACTCTTTAACCCCCCCACCCCTTTTTTTTTTCCTTGCCCTTATATCACCCATCTTTTTCTGTACTAAGTTTCTTTCTCTTACACCCTCCATTCGATTTTGCCTCCATATGCCTTCCTGTGACATCCTGATCCATATTATATTTGCAGGTAACTTGCCTCTTTGCAGCCTTTATCTTACTGTTCTCCAGATCCATTTTTCCATATCTATCTCTCCATTCTTTCGCCCACTGTACCTGTACTCATTTCTCCCCCACTCCCATTATGTAGCCAAGTCATTTCTGCTCTCACCCACCCCTCTCTATCCTAATATTTATTTTCTTTATTACTTATTTTATCTAACTAGGTCACTCCCATTGCCACATTCTTACCTCTTATTAGACCCAAAATATGGATTTTTAACTTGATAATTACTCTCTTGTAGTGCTTCTTTGCCTACTGAGAATGGGACCTTCCAAAAATAAATTGGTTATATCCAATGGTAAGCTGTGAGATGCTTGGTTGTCTCTAGTTAATGAACTGTTCGCTGTTGCTCACAGGGGCGGACTGACCGGTCGGGCACTTCGGACACGGTCCGAGGGCCCGGCCGGGAGGGGGGCCCGCCGCCAGGGCCGCCTTCAGGGGGCCCGGCGGCAGGGCTGGATTGGGGGGGGACTGCAGGTGCCACCGGGTGGCCAGTCCGGTGGCACACTGTGAGGTGGGGGCGGCCGTTTCATGTTAGAGCCGCCGGACCGGGTGGCAGCCTCGCCGGTCCGGCGGCATTCCGCTCACTAACACTGAAGAGGAAGGAGGAGGAGGAGCATGTATCTGTCATGCTCCCTGCGGTTCCCACAATTCCCAGCACAGGATGTGGGAACCGCAAAGGAGCATGACAGACACATGCTCCTCCTCCTCCTTCTTCTTCAGTGTTAGTGAGCGGAATGCCGCCGGACCGGCGAGGCTGCCACCCGGTCCGGCGGCTCTAAAATGAAACGGCCAGCCCCCTCTGACTAGTAAGAGGGGGGAGAGATGGGGAGGGGGGAGAAAGAGAGGGGAGAGATGGGGAGGGGGGAGAAAGAGGGGGGACATAGAGATGGGAAAGGGGGAGAAAGAGGGGGGAACAGAGAGATGGGGAGGGGAGAAAGGGGGGGCAATAAAGAGATGGGGAGAAAGAGAGGGAAGAATGAGACACAGGGGGAGACAGAGACAGAGAGGGAAGAATGAGACACGGGGAGAAAGAGGGGGAATAGAGAGATGGGGAGGGGGAGAAAGAGAGAGAGGGAAGAATGAGACACAGGGGGAATAGAGAGATTGGGAGGGAAGAATGAGACACGGGGAGAAAGAGGGGTAATAGAGAGATGGGGAGGGGGAGAAAGAGACAGAGAGGGAAGAATGAGACACGGGGAGAAAGAGGGGGAATAGAGAGTTGGGGGAGGGGGGAGAAAGAGAGGGAAGAATGCCCCCCTCCCCTGTCCGCAGGCACTGTGCGGGCAGGGGAGGAAGAGAGGACCTGGGAGCTCACCCTGCAGCTCCTCTGGGTCCTTCTTGCGCAAGCACAGAGCGTTGCCGCGGTTACCATGGCAATGTTACTGCTCTTGCGAGAGTCAACTCTAGCCCTGGAGCTACGGGCTAGAGTTCACTCTCAACACTGTAACCCCCATGGATTCCTGGTGGTCGCAGTGGTGAGAGTGAACTCTAGCCCCATAAACACACTGCCCCCACACACACACCATACACATTCACACACTGCCCCATACACACCATACACATTTACACACATTGCCTCACACACACACATACACTGCCCACCCATATACACACAGACCCCCATACACAGCCCCCCATACTAACATTGCCACACACATACAATGCCCACACACTCTACACATTCACACACTACACCCCCACACACACACTGAACCTTTCACACACATTGCACCACTGCTCCTATTCCCTACTACAGCCTCATATCCCAGCAGACCCCAGGTAAGTTGTCAAACTGTTCTTAAGCGGTTTGACTACTTACTCTGGAGCAGTAGTGGTTATTGTGCATGGATTATTTCTTTAAATAATCTACAAGTGCCCCAGTAGCCAGCCAGCCAGCCCACAGGCTGGCCAGTAGCCAGCCCACAGGCCAGTAGCCAGCCCACAGGCCAGTAGCCAGCCCACAGGCCTACAGCAAGCCACAGGCTTACAGCCAGCAAGCCACAGGCTTACAGCCAGCAAGCCATAGCCTGCCAGCCGCAGTCAGCAAGCCCACAGCCTGCCGGCAGTAGCCAGCAAGCCCACAGCCTGCCAGCCGCAGCCAGCAAGCCCACAGACTGCCAGCCAGCAAAAGTAAGGTAAGAGGAGCCAACTTGGCTTAGGTATCAGCGAGCTATGTTGTGTTGCTATATTGTGAATAGGAACCAGAGTGTTGGAGAGACCACCCTCCAGGCCCCATTAGACTCTAGCCTCTGCTAGAAATCCCCTCCATGGCCCATTAGCCCTCAATTGTAGTTTCTACTGGGGCCTGGAGGCGACTGTTTCCGGCAGGGGATATCTAATGGACGCTGAGATGGCCTCTGTTAGAAAGACCCCCTTCCAAGCCTTTTAGACTCCATTGTAGTCTCTAATGGGGCTTGGAGGGGATTCTTTCTAACACACCCTCTAAAGGACACTGAGATAGCCTCCGCTAGAAAGACCCCCCTCAATGGCCCATTTGCCCTCAATTGTAGTCTCTACTGGGGCCTCGAAGGGCTTATTGCCCTTTTGTTCCTTGTGTCTAAAGATTGTGTACGGTGTGGCTGGAGGCGGGACAAGGGTGGCGCTTGCTGCAGAGTATGGGTGGGGCCTGTAAGGGGGCCCTTGATTTATTTTGCCCGGGGGCCCTGAGGGTTCTCAGTCCGCCCCTGGTTGCTCATCATTGACAAGTAGATACCCAAGATAAGTAATTTCACAAGCAGATAGAATTGGATTACCTGTCTTCATATTTTCCATCTGCAATATTCATGTTAATTTGAATAGTGTCCTGAACTGTGAAATCTGCCTACTTACACACAATGGCCAGCATGATCACCACTTTGAAAAACATATTTTTCACTGCATTATTCCTCGGGATTGTCTTTTGACATTCAATGTAGTATATAATGCATAGTACTCTTGAGAGCTCACAAATCAGCGCTCCCTTGCAGCCCTCTGCCACCAGGCTAACAAGGTATTTGCCTGGACATTTGAGGGTGGCAGTTTTTTGCCGCTCCCCTGGAAAGTGACGCCCAAGGCAACGGCCTTGTTTGCCTTGCGGCAAATACGTCACTGGGTATGGGGCATGCAATGTTGGAGGAAGGAAGGGAGAGAGTTATAAAAGTTGGTGCAAATGCACCATAACCACTGCATGGGTTGTAGTAAGATATTTCTAATTCTTGTTTAAAAGAATGTTACAATAACAATAAAAATATAAATGTGAAGTAGAGGGATATATCATTATACATTTTTCACCTTGACATTATGTAACTGAAATGACGTAATATAAATATTTAATGCATCCATTTACTGATTGAATAAGCCAGAAGAACAATGCAAATAAATTAAATTATATCAAAATGCATATTATTTGTTTTAAACATTGGACATAGTGCATTGGTTTATCAAAAAGTGATACTATGACTGTTTTTTTCAAGTGGCATTTGAGGAAGGCCAGTGTGGCTTCTATCTCATAGAACAGCATTAAATATTTCTGCACTTAGTTGAGTGCTCAAGATAAACACTTAATGAGATTTTTCCCCCCCATCCACTTATATTAACAGTGTTTGTATTACCCAGAGAATGTGATTCCGACAAGGATTAATGTTGTAGGAAATATCACTTCAGAATAGAATGATAAATTGCTTTGCCGACATCTGTCCATGGAGACCCATTCTGCATCCTCACACCCCTTGGAATTATTACATATAACTCTCCTGATAGCCAATTGCCAATCCCATCTGTGCTCTCACACCGCTTGGCTGGTATTTTCTCAAACATTACCAAACTGTCCTCATTTGACATGAGCTCAGTGCATGTTCTGCATATGAAGCTGACAGCTGTCCCGTTTATATGCTTTTGTTTTGTTTTTTTGTAGCTGCAAGAGCAAACTGTATTCAGAGAAGCTGCCAAACACCAGTGTGATTATTCCTTTTCACAACGAGGGCTGGTCCTCACTTCTGCGGACAGTGCACAGTGTCCTTAACCGATCTCCACCTGAACTCATTGCAGAGATTGTGCTGGTGGATGACTTCAGTGACAAAGGTGTGTATAGCTTAAAGTTATCATGGTCATGATCAATGCATTGCCGGCATTCTGTTATAATTCACTACCCAAGTACCAGAATCCATGTATACAATGTTCAAAGTGATAAGTTGCTATGTAGGATCCAAAATTTACTGCCAAGTGGAAATTGATTGTTTTTTCAACATGCTTTTTTTATTTTGTGTGATGTACGAAGTAGCATGGATAAGGTGCTCAATTACAATCTCATCCAGACATTACAAAGCTCCTTTTATTTCAAGCCTTCAATCAACATGAGGGTCTAATCTCTCAGTTTTTCTTTTATTTATTCTGTGATACAAATTTTATTTGTGATCGGCAGAGGAACACTTTAGTGTTAGGAATACAAAATTGTATTCCTAACACTAAATGGTTCCTTTAAATAAATTTTGTGTGGCCGGGCCCCTTCTAATCTGCAAGGAGAGCTGTGAAGGAGAGAGCCCCGCTGGTACTTAGTATCAGCTCAAACAGACAATGCAGCATGGGAGTGATGTGCTGCAAGCTGATAGTGCGTGCCCCCCCACCCCCACCCCCAATATCTCAACCCCACCTGCTTGCTCATTTCCCAAGAGGTAGAGTAGACCAGGAGAGGAGCAACCCCATAACTCCCAACAGACCCAACCAACAGAAGCAAACTTACTGCTCCTATAAGGTAGGAAACTGAAGGGTGACTAACATTTTCATATGTATGGACCTTTTGGGTGTATGTTTGTATGCATGTAGTGTTTGTATCGGTGTACCTGTATCTGTCATTGTTTGTATTGTGTGTGGCAGTGTTTGAATCTTTATGTCTCTAAATCTGTATGTGTGCCAGTATGTGTATCAGTGTGTCTGTGTATCTTCATATTTGGTAGTGTTTGTATCTGTGTGTCTGTACATCTTTATGTGTGTCAGAGGGAGCTATAGTGCCAGGAATACAGCTTTGTATTCCTGACACTTATAGCAGTATCCCTTTAAGATTGTAGACCACTAGCAGATGCACAAACCCAGGCAGTGCTGGGATAGCAAATGCCCTGCATAAATCATGCCTGCTGCCATGTAGGATCCAAAATTTACTGCTTTCCCATACTAATGTGCCAACAGATATCTTAGTGCACTTCTTACTATTGTAATCTGCAACGGAATAGCATGAGGCTGAAGCCTACTGCCCCTGTATGCTACTGGCCTGGAAAGGGTGCAATTGCCCCCTGTTGTCTTTGCAAGCTTTCATGCCTTCTTTTCCCCTTTCTTGAGAACCTATCTGCTTGACAGGGTGCTTAAATCACCCTTTCAAGTTTTAAATTTACTTTAATTTTGTTTTTATCAGTTTTTTAATGCTATGTTCAAATATAAAATGGATATTGTCAAATTAATAACTGTGGTGATTTTGACCTATTGTTCCCACATAGTTGTTTTCTTATAATTTAATTGGTATTGCCAAATCTGACAATTCTTTGTGCTAAACTTTAACAGTTGTTTGCTTTCTTCACAGCAATCAATAGTACATTATTTAGATGTGTTCTGTCTGTCAGAGTCCTAATTGCTTCCCTGAGAACCTCTCTATTTCTCCTAAGTTCTGCTGTCTCCTCTGGATAGAATCCTATACTTTGGATAGGAATCAAGGAGGCACCTGTGGTATAGTGGTCAGGATTTCAACATATAGTGCAGAATATCCCCCAGGCAAGTGCAATCTAAGGGAACATAGGCATTCAAAACTGATGACTTCCTTGTGTACATTGTGCTTGCTATGGAGTGACATATATCTTTGTATATGGAAGGTCTAAACCTGTAAGCATGTTTTCTAGCAATAAGTCGGGTAACAGTGTAAGTGTAGTCTGGTTACAGAATAGTTTCATACACATCCAGTCATTCTAAACAAAGCTGCTAAGCCCCAATGTTAAAGGAGCACTATATGGTCAGTAACACAAACATGTATTCCTGACCCTGTAGGGTTAAAACCACCATCTAGCCACCCTGAGCCCCTCATGCCTCCCTAAAAATAGTAAAATCTTACTTGTATTCAAGCCTGAAGCTGCTGTTTCTCACTGTTTCCTTTAGACCTGCCTACTGACATCAGCAGAAGTGGTAGCCTGATCCAATCGCAATGCTTCCCCATAGGATTGGCGGAGACTAACAAGGGGGCAGATCAGGGGCAGAGCCAGCACAATTCAAACACAGCCCTTTCATATCAGCATCTCCTCATACAGATGAATTTTACCAATGTTCAGTGTCTGCATGCAGAGGGAGGAGATACTGAATGTTTGGATGCATTTTAGGCAGCCATGACCCAGGAAAGATCTCTAACGGCTATCTGATGAGAGGTCAGTGAAGTTATTACTAGGCTGTAATATAAACACTGCATTTTCTCTAAAAAAGGCAGTGTTTACAGCAAAAGGCCTGAAGGTAATGATTCTACTTAGCAGAACAAATTCAATAAGCTGTAGTTGTTCTGGTGACTATAGTGTCCCTTTAAGAGTCAGTCTGCCAGACTATGTGTTGTGGGATATATGTAGTAAGGGGTTTGGAAAAGTAGTCACTTAAGTTTTACTTTGATTTTTTGCCACACTTTTAGAGTGGAACCTATCAATGGGTTTTGGGAGACTATGTGTTTAATCACCACCCTATCTGTCCATATTAGCTAGGTATTTTTCTTCTTTGTCTGTAAGAGTTCCAGGGGGATACAAAGTTTAGTGGTTTTGGTACGTGCCAGTGACGTTTTTAAAGGAGATGTGTAGGTTGAGGATATTTCTGAAAGGAAATATCCACCAAGTCTCTTTTTGGAAGAATTAGTTGTGATTGTTTAATTTATGCGGCCATTACTTTCCAAATAAAGTGAAGGATGGAGGTGTTGAGTGACTCGAAATATATCTTAGGGCTCTGAATAGGAATTGTCTGAAATAACTAGAGCAGTTTAGGGAACAAGTTCATCTTTATGCAGTATCCCACCCACCGTGTCCATATTAAGAGTCTTCAGAAAGGGAAGGAAATGGGACCGTAGGTGGTCAGTCATTTGCTTATAGTGAAATGCCGGTGACTTCAGACTTGTCCATATAAAGTTTCAAATTAGAAAGCTGACCATATTATCGAAACCATTAACAAATTCGATAGGGGTTCAATAAAAAATAGGAGGTAGTCAGTGTACTCTTTGACCTTGTGTTTAGTTGCATCCTGTTTGTAACCTACAAACATTACCATCCTGTGTCACCACCTCCAGATAGGGTTCAAGTGTCAAGGCAATCAAGAGTGGGGGGATGGGAACACCCCTGCCTGGTCCTGTTTCGTATCGAGACAGACTGGGAAAGGGCACCATTAAGCGCTAGGTATGGTGTAAAGTGCCGCTTTTAAGCAAATTAGGACCAAAGCCCATGTCTCTCAAGGTAAGGGTCATGAAGCTCCAGTCCACTAGCATTACTCTTCTTATCACACTATGTAAATTTACAGATACCCCATTTTCTCTGTACGAACAGTTGATGCAATTGGGTTTTCCCCACTGGTCTCTTGAATGGGACAGGTAGCACTTGGAGTGTTATCAGATACACCCCACTGATGAAAGACAAAATCATTAGTCGCAATCACAATCATCTGGAATTGCTGTATCTCTCTCGCAGAGGGAGTTTTGCAGCATTTCAGATAGATTACCATCTTGAAGGAAATAAGCATGATATGTGAAAGGCATTGGATCGATCTGTAATGACATATTTGAGTAAAACTTGGTTCAAGAGCCAAACAGAGATTAAATCAATTGGCAAACTATTGAGATTATCCATTCCCAGTGTTAATATCTTCTGTTTGCTTTTGCTTCAGTGCATTAGGTTTGGGTCTCCCCAAGTTAAAAGGGTAATCCAGACATGACCCCATGTTCAGTTTGCCTAGAGGGGTATCCGCTGCAATTCACTAATAAAGAGCAAAGAACATAGAAGCATAGAAACCTAGAATGTGACGGCAGATAAGAACCATTCGGACCATATAGTCTGCCCAATTTTCTAAATACTTTCATTAGTCCCTAGCCTTATTTTATAGTTAGGATAGCCTTATGCCTATCCCACTCATGCTTAAACTCCTTTACTGTGTTAACCTCTACCACTTCAGCTGGAAGGCTATTCCATGCATCCACTACCCTCTCAGTAAAGTAATACTTCCTGATATTATTTTTAAACCTTTGTCCCTCTAATTTAAGACTATGTCCTCTTGTTGTGGTAGTTTTTCTTCTTTTAAATATAGTCTCCTCCTTTACTGTGTTGATTCCCTTTATATATTTAAATGTTTCTATCATATCCCCCCTGTCTCGTCTTTCCTCCAAGCTATACATGTTAAGATCCTTTAACCTTTCCTGGTAAGTTTTATCCCGCAATCCATGAACCAGTTTAGTAGCCCTTCTCTGAACCCTCTCTAAGGTATCAATATCCTTCTGAAGATACGGTCTCCAGTACTGTGTACAATACTCCAAGTGAGGTCTCACCAGTGTTCTGTACAATGGCATGAGCACTTCCCTCTTTCTACTGCTAATACCTCTCCCTATTCAACCAAGCATTCTGCTAGCATTTCTTGCTGCTCTATTACATTGTCTGCCTACCTTTAAGTCATCAGAAATAATCACCCCTAAATCCCTTTCCTCATATGTTGAGGTTAGGACTCTATCAAATATTCTGTACTCTGCCCTTGGGTTTTTACGTCCAAGATGCATTATCTTGCACTTATCCACATTAAATGTCAGTTGCCACAATTCTGACCATTTTTCTAGTTTACCTAAATCATTTGTCATTTGGCTTATCCCTCCTGGAACATCAACCCTGTTACATATCTTAGTATCATCAGCAAAAGACATACCTTACCATCAAGACCTTCTGCAATATCACTAATAAAAATATTAAAGAGAATGGGTCCAAGTACAGATCCCTGAGGTACCCCACTGGTGACAAGTCCAAGCTTCGAATATATTCCATTAACTACAACCCTCTGTTGCCTGTCACTCAGCCACTGCCTTACCCATTCAACAATATTGGAATCCAAACTTAAAGATTGCAGTTTATTGATAAGCCTTCTATGTGCAACAGTGTCAAAAGCCTTACTGAAATCTAGGTAAGCAATGTCTACTGCACCACCCTGATCTATAATTTTAGTTACCCAATCAAAAAATCAATAAGATTAGTTTGGCATGATCTCCCTGAAGTAAACCCATGTTGTCTCTGATCTTGAAATCCATGTGTTTTTAGATGTTCAACAATCCTATCCTTTAACATGGTTTCCATCACTTTCCCCACTACTGAAGTAAGGCTTACTGGCCTATAGTTGCCCGACTCCTCCCTATTACCTTTCTTGTAAATGGGCACAACATTCGCTAACTTCCAATCTTCTGGGACTACTCCTGTTAACAATGATTGGTTAAATAAATCTGTTAATGGTTTTGCTAGTACACCACTAAGCTCTTTTAAACTCACATGTAATAAATTACTCATTTATCCTTTTTCTCAACTGAGGTCCCTTTCCGTTATTTTCATCTGTAAATACAGAACAAAGATATTCATTGAGGCAGTCAGCTAGACCTTTATCCTCTTCTACATACCTTCCTTCTTTTGTTTTTAATCTAACTAATCCTTGTTTTACTTTTCTTTTCTCATTTATGTATCTAAAAAATGTTTTATCCCCCTTTTTTTTTACTGACTGTGCTATTTTCTCTTCTGTGTGTGATTTGGAAGCTCTTATAACTTGCTTAGCCTCTTTCTGCCAAATCTTATTGATCATTTTGTCTTCCTCACTCTGGTTTTTTTTTATAATTCCTAAATGCTAACTTTTTGTTTTTAACTATTTTGTACCACAGTGGTTTCTTGAATTTTTTGCTTTTACTGACAAGTAGTGATGTCCCGAACTGTTCGCCGAACGGTTCGCCACGGACTCCAGTCAGCAGACACATTCCAGCCAATCAGCAGCAGACCCTCCATCCCAGACCCTCCCACCTCCTGGACAGCATCCGTTTTGAAGCTGCATTCTTAGTGAGCTGTCCAGGAGGTGGGAGGATCTGGGAGGGAGGGTCTGCTGCTGATTGGCTGGAATGTGTCTGCTGACTGGAGTCCGGGCGAACAGTTCGGGACATCACTACTGACAAGCCTAATGCAATTTTCTGTTGCCTTCAGTAGTGCAACTTTTAAATAATCCCATTTCTCTTGGACTCCATTTAAATTGCTCCAGTCTGATAATGACTCCTCTACCCATATTCTAATTTTAGAAAAGTCTGTTTTTCTAAAGTCTAAAACTTTTGTTTTTGTGTGGTGTGACTCAGTCACTGTTCTTATATTAAACCACACTGACTGATGATCACTGGATCCTAAACTTTCACCTACAGTAATATCTGATACCAAATCTCCATTTGTTAACACTAAATCTAGTATGGCCTCTTTACGAGTTAGCTCCTCAACAACTTGTTTTAGAGACAATCCCAGTAGGGAGTTTAGAATATGTGTGCTCCTGGCACAAGTAGCTAATTTTGTTTTCCAATTTACATCAGGAAGATTAAAGTCACCCATGATGATAACTTCCCCCTCCATTATCATTTTAGCTATTTCCTCAACTAGTAGATTATCCAACTCTTAAATTTGTCCTGGGGGCCTATAAATCACACCTACACGAGTTACTGTGTGATTACCAAATTCTAACGTAACCCAAACGGACTCTATGTTTGCCTCACTAACTTTTATTAGGCTAGATTTTATGCTATCCTTCACATACAGGGCCACCCCTCCCCCTTTCTTGCCTTCCCTATCTTTCCTATATAAAAAGTACCCTGGTATTGCTATGTCCCAGTCATTTTTCTCATTATACCATGTCTCAGTAACAGCGACTAAATCTACACTATCAGTTGCCATTATTGCCACAAGTTCATGGATCTTTTTCCCTAAACTGCGAGCATTTGTAGACATGACTCTAAGCTTATCATTTTTTAACACACTTGCTACAGGCACCTTCTGTCCTTGTTTTGGGGGACAATTGGATTGATGTTTTATCACCCTTTTGCCCCCCTCCTCCTAGTTTAAATACATCCTTGCAAAACCTCTGAACTGCTCATTGAGAACATTTGTTCCCTTTTGAGAAAGATGCAAACCATTTTTTGTACAGCTTATCTCCATTCCAAACAGAGCTACCATGAGAAATAAAGCCAAATCCTTGCTCCCTACACCATTCACCAAGCCACAAATTAAAGTCCCTAATACACATCCGCCTGTCATTCTGAGTGTTATGCACAGGCAGAACTTCAGAGAATGACAGTGTGGAAACAACCTGCCGTATATCATTGGCAAAAACACTAAAACCTTCCTTAACCTCTAAAACCTCCTTGCAAGCCAAGTAATTTGTCCCTAGATGGACAAGTACATCCAATTCCCCTTCCTGGTTTGCTTGCTTAACAATATTACAGATACGTCTCCTGTCTCTGTGAGCTGTAGCTCCGGGAAGACACCTCACAAGACCACCATTATCCATCTCCACACCTCTTATAATAGAATCCCCCAACAACAACTGCTTTCTATTAGGCCTCACCATAGTCTCCAAGCCGGTCTCCACAACACCACTAGCCTCAGTGCCTCTCTCCACAACACCACTAGCCTCAGTGCCTCTCTCCACAACACCACTAGCCTCAGTGCCTCTCTCCACAATACCACTAGCCTCAGTGCCTCTCTCCACAATACCTCAGTGCCTAGCCTCAGTGCCTCTCTCCACAATACCACTAGCCTCAGTGCCTCTCTCCACAACACCACTAGCCTCAGTGCCTCTCTCCACAACACCACTAGCCTCAGAAGGCTGAAATGATCATCTTGAGATTGCTGTATCTCTCCTGCAGGGGGAACTTGTCAGCCCTTCTGATCTGCACCTCCATCGTCTGTGCCTGTCCTTTTTAAGAACAGGTTCTTCGTTGGCATTTATCATTTTTTTTGTACCTCTCATAGCCAAGGTTGCATAGACTGCTGCCAGGGCTCTGCGGTTCTCTTCTATCAGTTGGCACAATCTCATTTTCTTGGATGTTTGACATAATCCTGCAGTTCGTTCTGCAGTTCCTGTCTGGTGACATAAGATGAGCAGAGATGTTACATAAGTGTAGGCGCTATTACTTCAGTGGAATGCACACAAAGGTTGCAATGCATTTAAACATGATTATATAGGTTATATTGGGGGGTCTTGGAGCCAAAACTCAAATTGGTTAAAGGGACACTATAGTCACCAGAACAACTACATCTTATTTAATTTGTTCTGGTGAGTAGAATCATTACCTTCAGGCTTTTTACTGTAAACACTGTCTTTTCAGAGAAATTGCAGTGTTTATATTACAGCCTAGTGATAACTTCACTGGCCACTCCTCAGATAGCTGTTAAGAGATCCTTCTTGGGTCATGGCTGCCTAAAATGCATCCAAACATTCAGTATCTCCTCCCTCTGCATGCAGACACTGAACATTCATTGATTCATTTAATCTCTGAGAAGATGCTGATTGACCAGGGCTGTGTTTGAATCATGCTGGCTCTGCTCCTGATCTGCCTCCCTGTCAGTCTTAGCCAATCCTGTGGGGAAGCATTGTGATTGGATCAAGCTACCACTTCTGATTATGTCAGCAGACTGCCTTATTTTTGAGTCTAACAACATGCAGAGTTACAGCTTCTGGCTTGAATACTGAAAGATTGGAGGCTTGAGGGGCCCAGGGGCTACATTTATGGAGGCATGAGGGGCCCAGGGGGTCTAGATGGTGGTTTTAACACTATAGGGTCAGGAATACATGTTTGTGTTCCTGACCCTTTAGTGATCCTTTAATACCAGTTTAGAATACTTAAAGCCCCGCTAAACAGAGTAAGCCACTAGACTAGAGTCATCCTAAAGTGAGAAAGGTAATTTTGTATGGATGTTTTTATTTTTTGAATACTTTCGCTGGTCCGTTGGTTAGCTCCATTCTTTTTATTTTTGGATATCAAACCTTCTGAAAAGCAAGAATCTACTAACAAGCCTCAAAGAGCCAAAGCAGTACTTCATACTAAAATCGTTGTTGCACTGGCTGTAACATTCCTTTGCCTGGCGGCTGTAAGAAAAAACTGTGCAATCCTCATACTAAATAGTATGTTGATGCTGCCAAGAGAGAAGTAATTGCATTTTTTATGCAGTGGTTTCAGACAGATCTTTCAGATTTTCATGGTTGTCAGTACTGCTGCACTATGGACCATTCCTGCTGCGTCTGAATCCTCTCATTTGCTTCCAGATTCTGAAACCAAGGACTCCAGCAAAGGGTCCTTATCTAGTTCACCCTCTGTATCCATGTCCTTAGATGATATGATGTGTTTTCAGAAGAGAGTCTAGATAAATTAGTCAAAGAGGTCCATATGGCTATGAAGGAAGTACAAGGCACATTTTCACATTAAGACAAACCCTGGATTCATGCACATTCTGCTTAGAGAATGGCAGGCATATGGAGAAAGACCTTTGATCACTAAGCACTTTAAAATATTTTCTATTAAATAATATAAACCTTGGGATTCTATGCCCAAAACTGATATACCCATTGCACAATTAGGTTCTAATGTCTTACGGACAGGCAAGGCCATTTCCTTCCCCAAAATCTAATGGATAAAAAAGCTAAAACATCTGTGAAAAATTTTTCAGGTCTCTTCAAGTTTATCTTTTGATGAATTATTGAAGTCTATAGCTGAAGGAAAGAAGATTTTACCTCAAGAGAAAAAGAAATCCAACTAGAACAATAGTTTATTTTTCTTTGGCAAAGCATCTTGGGAAGATCCTTTGGGCCAAAATATTCCAGATACAGTGGCAGACAAGTTTATAAAGATAAGCCTAAAGATAAAAGGAAGTCCTTCAGATAAAATAGATGAGAAATATTTTGACGCCAGGCCGTGGAAGTGAGACTGGTTTATTTTTCCATACCTGGAATCAGACCATCCAAGATTGAGTCCTAAGAGTCAAACAGCACGGTTACAACTGTGAATTTGACAATCTTCTTCATCCTGTACTTTTGTTTTGAAGTACATTATTTGGTGCTAAGAGAGGCATTAAGTGCTGTGGTCATAGAACTTGAAAAGAGAGCAGTGTTAGAGAGCAGTGTTAGAAGAAGTGCTTCCAAAAGAAAGAAATCTCAGCTGATGATGTTTCTTCTTGTTAGAAAGCACCATGGTATGTTATCCTTTTTAGACCTCATGAAAGTGAACACATTCGTGTCCAAAAAGAAATTCAGAATGAAGATTTACCTTTCAGCACTCAAATAAGATCTACGATCAGTTCAAAGCCTTTCTCTTTGGTCTATCACTCCAACAGTTTTCTCATAGAGTCTGATTGTACATTTTGCCTGGAGAAATGCCAAAGAAATTGAAAGTGAGCAAGCTCTGGGTTTGCCAGGTTTGTCCAGCCAAAAAAACAATAAGAGTTCTGGGACAGGTGCTATCCTAGCACTAGCCTAGGGTTGCCATCAGAAATTTTGGGGCCCCTAACACAGCTCAAGGTCTGGGGCCTGCCCCCGAGTCCGCCCACAGGGATGCAGTGTGTGTACTGATTGTGGTGTGTGTGTAAAATGGATGTAGAATTTGTGTGGTGGATGCAAAGTGTGTGTGTAATGTATGCAGATTGTACATTTGTGTAATGTATAATGTGTATATTAGATGCAGAGTGTGTGTGTAGTGGATGTAGTGCTTGTGTGTATTAGATGCGGTGTGTATAGTGCATACAGAGTATGTGTTTGTACAGTGGATGTAGTCTTTGTGTGTATTAGATCAGTCTTGAGGCAAAATTATATGTTTGATAATGTGAATCAATTTTTATTTTTTTTGCTTTTGCAATGGTAGTCCAACATTGCACACTGTTGCCTACTTTGTTGTCAACATTTGTCCTTTTTATTTGATGCTATTCCTAACTCAGTCCCATTTAATGTATAAGCTATTAATGGATTCCTTATTTCAAAATGCACTACTTTGAATTATGGATTTTTATTTCTGAATTTTTTGACAAAATGTATTCTAGGTTAACTATTATATAACTCTCTCTCTCTTATATGGTTTAATCATACAATACTTGCTACTCTCGTAATCTTTTTAAAAATGTGCCCCACTTGTAACTAAAATACATTTATGTACAATAAAGTCTTAAAAAGAAAATTGTGTCACATTTTATTACACTAAGACAAAGTGCTACCACTCTAAATAAAAATTAGAGTATATGCAGGTTTTCAGCATGTAAAGGTTTTTCTTAAAGAGTATGCGCTCATACTAGTGTGGTGGAAATCAAATGTATACACCCACCAAATCCATTACTGAAACATTACAAATTAACTGACACAAAAGCTATGCATATATTTACAGTATTTTGTATGACTGAACTGCCTTATAAAAAAAAATAGGTATTTGTGCTCTTAAGTTTATTGCTGAACAGATGTAATTTTCCCCACAGAACATTTGAAGAAACGTCTGGAAGATTACATGGTTAGATTCCCCAAGGTAAGAATTGTGCGAACTAAGAAGAGAGAAGGATTGATCCGCACACGTATGTTGGGAGCCACAGTAGCCATCGGAGAAGTAATTACTTTTCTAGATTCTCATTGTGAAGCCAATGTGAATTGGCTTCCACCCCTTCTAGGTAAGTAGAAAGCCCTTCTTCAAGTCATACATTTTGCCATTCATATCTATAATTTTTATTGAGCTTTATATGTAAATACATGTTTTTCTCTTGGTTCTTAAAAGAATGGTTACCATGAGGATAGAATGGAATAGTATTGTAATTTGGCTGAATGTGTGATTTGAATCTTTAATAAAAGAGATCAAGGAGAAATAGTTTATTGCACTTTTTCTGGCTGCTAGACTTGCTTGTTAATCCAAACGCCATGCTACTGTTTTACACTAAGGTATAATCCAACTTTGTTTTTGTTTTTTCTTCTGCAGACAGAATTGCTCAGAACCGTAAAACGATTGTGTGTCCTATGATTGATGTAATTGATCATGACCACTTTGGCTATGAAACACAAGCTGGTGATGCAATGCGAGGGGCTTTTGACTGGGAAATGTTTTACAAACGTATCCCCATTCCTTCTGAGTTGCAGAATTCAGATCCAAGTGAGCCTTTTGAGTAAGTTCCATCTGCTTTTTTACAATTATTACATTGTTATATTATCAAGGTCTTAAATATTTTTATTCATTTTATCACAAAGTATATAAAACTCAATTTACATAGAAAATTCTTTACAATAATATTATTTTGACACATATAACAAAAATACAAAAACACAAAAACAACAAACACCAAAGACAACAAACAGCCTATCAATTCACAGTGTATGAGTATTCTATAATGACCCAGTATGGGTTATAATCTGTACCCTTTATCAGTCTCCACAAGTTGTCCTCTTCCAAATTCTTACCCCGATTTCCCCTTTTGTCCTATACTAATCGCAGTCACCAACCCCTCACCTTAGTCACCATTTGACCCCAAGTTGTAGGGGGGAAGACCATATGAAATATGCCCATTTTCTATACTAAAGATGGGAACACTCTAAATAAAAAAGAGTGAGGAGGTATAAGAAAAACCATGTGAGGAATAACTATAAAAAAAGAGGGCAACCACCTTAGATCCCAAAAGTACCCATACTTCAACAGCCACACACATACCACATATATTTTTCCGGGATTCCATGGGGAGGTAAACCGACAAGGAGAAATAGCTATGAAGGGTTTTGTCCAAGGGTCAAACAATAATCATCCCAGAGAGCCCATCTATACTCCGGAACTATAGGAGCGCCTAAATATCCATCCTCTCTTTCTAGTGTCCTATTTCTTTGCATTACCCTTTCCACTTCTGACCACTTTGGCAACCTTACAGCAATCAACCATTTCGCTATCGATAAGATATGAAACAGGAAAGATTTTAATTCTTTTGAGCGGTAACTAGGTAGAAAGTGAAACAGAACCAATTATGAAGTTAATTTGATCTTTTCGCCTACAATTCGAGATATCCCAAGTTTACCCTCCTTCCAATACATTTGAATATAGGGACAAGACCACCACATATGTGTTGCTGAGCCAACTTGATTACAGCCTCTCCAACTAAATTTATATGTATCCTCTTTCTTTATTTTCCAAAGCTTAAGTGGCGTTATATACCATCTATTTAAAATTTTAAAATACATCTACCTATATGAAACATGTTTAATTATTTTGTCCATTGAAGCAAAAGCTCCTGACCACATTTCCATGGGCCAGGATTGATTAAGTTCCTCTTCCCAAATTCTTAAATTTAAAAATTTAGTGCCAAATCCCTCTCTCTCAAAAGACTAAAACATTTTGATAGCAAGTGCATCTTATTTGTTGAACATATTATTTTTTCACAGGGTGTCAGTTGTCTAAGCTCTTTTAAACGATAACTGGACGTCGAGCCTTCACCTTAATGTATTCCATCCACAAGCTAGTTGGAATTTAAAATTAGATTGTAAATAGTCAAATGAGAGAAATTCATTATTTACATATAAATAATCTGCATCCCAATTTCAATAATATCTCAAGCAGAGGGGAGTGAATCTTTTCCTGCAGCCATGAGATATGAATGATCAGGCTCGGAAATGGAACCAGAGAATATTTATGATTCAACTTCAACCAACTTTTAAGACTGTACCATATTATCGAGGCTTTACTATGCAGTATGCCACTGGATAAATCATCTCGAAAAAGGATTGAGTTCAAGTGTGTTTGTTTAAGAAAAAAAGCTTCTATTGATACCCAATTATTATTTTTTTCCTCTTCCTCCCATCTCAGCATATGTGTCAAGAGGGAGGCTTCCTGATATTTCTTAATGGCAGGATATGCTATCCCTCCACTAGAGAATTTTTTAACCATAATTGGTATCTTAATTCTCATTCTTTTATCCTGGTGGATAAATACGTCAATCACCCTCTGTAATTTATTAAGCAAATAGATGGGACACTGCCAGGGTATGCAGCGCATAACATAAGTAATCTTAGGTAATATTGTCATCTTAACCGCTGCTATTCTACTTGCATTATATTAGAATAAACTGATTGAAAATTAACTGTCATTGTTCTTTTCATTTCGGTGAACAATTTTATTCCTAAATGGGTTATTGAGTGTTGCCAATTGAATGGATAAAATTGACTTAAGAAGTTTTTCTCAGACCGTCCCATATTAAAAGTGACGGCTTCCGATTTCTTTACATTTAATTTATAATTGGATATTTCACTATACTCTGTTATAATATCTTGAAGACCTTTTAAAGATTTTTCTAGTTTTCCTATTGGTATTATTACATCATCCGCATATAGGGAGATTACATGTGACTTTTGATTTACTTCAATTCCTGTTATACCTAAAGATTCCCTTATCGCTGTCGCCAGTGGTTCAATAATTAAAGCAAAAACTAATGGGGATAAAGGGCAACCTTGCCTAGTGCCATTTAAAATGACAAACCTTCCTGACCGAAAATTTTGGCCGATTACACTAGCGCTCGGAGATGTATACAAAGCGGCAATCGCCTTAGAGGCAAAATCACCTAAGCCATATTTTGACTGGGTGAGGAACATAAAGTCCCAATCCACCCTGTCAAATGCTTTCTCAGCATCGAGACTCACAAAAACTGCTGCTATTTTTTTATATTTAACCACTGAAGTTATATTTAACAGTTTCCTGATATAATCGGAATCCAACCTCCCCTGAATAAAACCCATTTGATCAGAATTGATCAACTTATGGATATATTGATTCAATCTTTCCGCTAGAATTTTAGCATAAATCTTTATATCTACGTTAAGCAGAGAGAGAGGTCTAAAATCACTGCATTCAGGGGTTAATTTATGTGTTTTGGGGATTGTGATTATTTGTGCTTCCAACTACTCTGGGTGAGCTGGGCCAGCATTCTTTTTTTCTTTTAATGTTTGGCACAGGTAACTAGAAATCTCCCCTTGACAGAGTGAGTAATATTGATTGATTAGCCCATCGGGACCAGGGGCTGAGCCCAATTTCAATTTTGAAATTGCCCATTTAATTTCCTGTTCGGTAATATCCTCATTTGTATTTGCCAACGCCATTTGAGAAAACTCTAGAAAGATGAATCTTATCCAAAAATTCTGCGATTTTCCTTTTTTTTTCACCTGCTATCTATATTTGGGGAATTCAAATTATAAAGGGCATGATAGTATTTCTCAAAGCATGCGGCAATATCAACAGGCTTAACAAAAAGTTCTTTATTATGTCATAGCCTGTTTATTCTACCATTATTAAATTTTTGTTTCAACTTGCTAGCCATCAGTTTCCCTGCTTGATTTTGACCATGATATAATCTTTGTTGCAAGGCCCATGTCAGCCAGAAGTTGCTGAATTCTTATTATTTGTGATTGTATTTCTCGAATTTTATTTCTTTAACTCAGAAGGGGATTTTTTATTCTCTCTGTCTAATAAAATAAATTCTATATGTAGGTCTCTTAGTGATTTACCTCTCTTCTTCTTTAATATTGACTGGCATTTTATCATTATCCCTCTTATATAGGCTTTATAAGAAAGCCACACTATTTCTTTAGAGTTAACAGTACCATCATTACTTAAAAAGAATGCAACCGTTTCATTTTTTCTATTTTTTTTTTATTTATTTTTATATTTCCGGGTCCTTTAGTAATTCTATGTCCATTCTCCATAATCTATTATTCTTAACGGGAGGGTCTAAACCCAAACTTACTCCAACCAGCCCATGGTCGGACCACGTAATCACCCCTATTTCTGCATGTTGAACTTTAGAAATACTCTGCCCATCCATAAAAATATAATCCAATCTACTATACATTTTATGTCTGTGAGAAAAGAAATGAATAGTCCCTCTCTAAAGGGTATAACGTTCTGCATGTGTCATACAAATTATATTTAAGTAGTAATTTATTAAACTTTTTGAAGTTTTGGACTAACTGAGGATCCGATTTTATCTCTCCTATTGAATTTCTGTCCACAGTTGGATCCAAAGGTACATTGAAATCTCCGCAAAACCACCAGAGTTCCCATAAAGAATTTTTTCATTACTTTCAATGTCTGGCTAATAAATGTAATTTGCCCTTTATTAGCGGCATACATATTTATGATTGTAAATTTCTGAGAATTAATCAGGCCTGCCCATAATAGATAATGTCCTTCTTTATCTTTTATGACAATGTCTTCTTTTATTAGTAGAGTTTTATTAAATATTATTGAAGCCCCTCTCGATTTACTTTTCGAATAGGTGGCACTATATGGATTAGAATAATATCTATTGCCAAAAAAGGGAATTTTATTAGTCTGCCAATGGGTTTCTTGAATACTAATAACATCCGGTTTACCCCTAAACAGATTTTTAAATGCTTTGCTCCTTTTGCCCACTGTATTTAAACCCTGGACATTTTGACTAATAATCCTCAGATTCTTGGAGAACCAAACCAACCAACAATCTGAGGACCTTCTAACCTGCCTTCATCAGCACCTTCCACCCCACGTCTCGGAACCTCCCAGAAATCATAACATACACATTCACACCCATTCATCCAAACAATAAAAACATTTTTTATTGTATATAAAAATATATTACCAGTATCAACTAGCATCTAATATGCTAAGGCATTTAGTGCTATTCTCAAGGCTTCCATAGTATGTATATGTAATAAAAAATAAATATATATATATATATATATATATATATATATATATATATATATATTATCGCAAACATTTCACAAACAGAAGGTTGTGTATGGTTACCTAGCTTTTTGTTTTTATAAACCTTCAGTTGCAGGTGTCTGAATCAGATTCTCTGTAATATGGTTATCCCCTTAAGGACACAGCTTCAAAAGATTGTCTTACCCTTAAGAACACAAGCCATTTTTGCATTTTTTGCTGTTTGTGTTCAAATGCAATTTGCATTTATTGGACCAACACATATACCATTTTTATAGGGCAAACAGGGCTTTAATTTTATTTGACCATCTTAATTTTTAGTTTTTCAAACAGTGAGTCAGTAGCATTAATGTTGAGCACAGTACAATGTAACTTAATGCAATGTTTTGGGATACAAGCTTCCGTAAAACAATATTTCAAGAACATCGGCTTATAA